AGGAACTTGGGGGTGCCAGCCTGGCAGAGGGCCAGGGACAGCACTGGGCCCAAGGGCTGCTGGTCCCCTGCCAGCCCCCGGCCCCCCAGGGCGATGGAGGGTGGAGGGGTGCCCGCGGCCCTGGGCTTGCACCGCACTCCCCACCTGGGTGAGGTTCCCACATTCCTGAGGCAGCTCAAAGGGGAGCCAGGGCAGGCGTGGGGTGGGAATGCCGCCGCCCTGAGTGTGCGCCCATGTGTCAGTGCTTGGGGCAGCCTGGCAGGACACGCACCCCACGCCCCCCTGCCCCCCTGCTGGGCACAGGGATCCCCCACTGGCATCACCCCAGCCTGGGCACAGGCTTGAGATCCATGGAATCCATCCCAGGTGGCTCTGCCAGTCTCTGTGCAGGCAGGACTGGGACGATGCCCCACAGGGAGAGCCCACAGCCCGACCAGAGGGCTGGACTGGAATGGGATGGGATGATGGGATAGGGTGGGGTGGGGTGCGGTGTGAATGGGATAGGGTGGGGTGGGATGGAGTGGGATGGGATATGGTAGGATAGGGGGTTACTTTCCCATGGATTTACAAGCCTGGGCCACCCCAGGATCAAGGTTCAGTGTGTATCCAAGGAGGCTCCCAAAATCCTGAGTCCTTCCCCTCCCCAAGGCTGGCAACTTGCTCAAGCATTTATAATAATAATGATAATAACAATAATAACAATAATAATAACAACAACACCAACAACAGCTGAGCTGTCGGCTGACTCCTGGAGCCGGGATTTAAAACAAACCAAGAAATGTGGCAGCGTCTGGGAAGCAGCCGCTGACGCTGAGGGAGGAGGTGCGGGGGGTCAGCGGGTGCAGGGGGTTTGGGGGATCAGGGCTCTGGTGTCTGTTGGATGTAGTGACTGGGGTCTCTGCCCTGGGAGCCCCTTCCCACCTTGGCAGCTTCCCACCTGTGTTTCCAGGGCTCCCTGGGTGCAGGAGCTGAGTCCTTTCCCACTGGGGGGTCTCAGCCCCCGGCCCACGCCCAGGGGAGCGTCCTGTTGGTGGGCACGAGCTGGCAGCATTGGCCCAGGGTGCTGATGTAACCGCCAGGACCTCTCCTGACCTGGGGATTCCCGTGATTGCCAATTGCCACACCAGCACTGGCACATGGCACAGACTGGGGCACAGGACGGGGCTTGGGGGGCACTGGGGCAGCGGGACAGCGGCAGAGCTGGGGCGTGGGGCAGGACAGGAGGTGGCCAGGGATGGGGAGCAGTTCTCCTGCCCCTCCCAGCAGGAATCCAGGCTGAAACAGGGCTGGGGCCCAAACCTCTGCTCACCCCTGGCTGGGGGAGGGTCATGGGGGCCGAGAGCCACTGCCTGGTGTCAGCAGGGACGGGAGCTCAGCGTCCTGAAGGGGCCCATGAGCTCAGGGAGCTCAGAATAGCCTTGGCCTCACCGTGGCAGCAGGGCCACAGCCCAGCACGGCCAAGTATGGCCCCACACCTGGGCGCTGCTAAATCCAGAGGGATTCGCCATCCTTCCCAGGGCCAGGGCCAGGTGGGTGGGAGCCTCTGAGGTGACTCCACCGTCCCCAGCCCTGTGCAGGAGCTGACTCACCCTGGGGTCTGGCCAGAGCCATCCAGCCCTGTGCTGGGGTCCCCCTGCCCACTGTGTGCCCAGCCCCCTCAAGCCCAGAGGGGCTGCCTGAGTCACTCCAGGGGTGACTTTGTGTCTGGGGCTCGCCAGGCCCAAGGCCAGGGGGATGGGCAGAGCTCCCAGGAGTGTGGGGTGCCCCAGAGCCAGGGCACGGCAGGCGAGGCCGGGCTGGGCCACTGGCTCTGGCTGTATCGGGCTGGCAGCTGGAGTGTCCCCAGGCTGTGACGCCTGGACACGCTGCCAAAGGCCACCAGGACACGTCCCCGAGAGCTGGGAACACACGGAGCCGGTTGTGTGTTTCTAAGGACACGCCTGGGTGTTTACAGCCCCGCCAGCGTCACGGGCACAGGCACTGCCGTCCTGCCCAAGGACACCCGCGCCTGCAAGGAGGCCACTCTGAGCCTGGGCGGGATGGGGGGCAGCAGTGGGTGCTCCAGGGGGGTCCGTGCCCGGCGCAGTGCCAGGAAGGTGGGAGCAGCAGCTCCTTACTCACGGCAGCAGCGATGCCTCACCTGAGCGCGCCGGGCGACTGAGTCACCGCTCGCTGCCGTGACTAAGGCTGAGCTGCTCGGCCCCGAGGGGCTTGGGTGGACAGGGAGGGGGTGCTGAGACCCCCAGCCCTGCACCACTCCCAGCATGGCGGTGCCTGGTGGGCCGGGCGGGCGGGTGGAGGTGCAGCGGTTCGGCTGCACCCTCCTGCCGGGGTGTGCCCCGCATGATCCCGGCCGCTGGCCCCGCGCCCGTGGGAACGCTCCCACTCACTGCTGCAGCTCCACACGAGGCCCCAGCCGGGCACCCTTGGTAGCCAAAGGATCACTCCCCTTCACAGGCTGGGGGCTGAGGGAAGAAAAGTGTCCTTTTCCCACCTGGGTGCCCCCAGGCTGCAGCCCGGTATCTTCTGAAGCCACAGGAGGGAGAAACACCCCCTTTCCCCGCCTCTCCCCTCCTCTCCCTGCTCCGGAGCCAGCGTCAGCTCTGCCCTAATCCCATGACCCCACGCCTGCGAGGGGAATGCAGAGACTTGCGATAAAATCCCCGCTTGCCAAAGCTGTGGAATCAGCCAGGAATTCAGTCCAAAAGAAAAAAACCAAAAAAACACATAAAAAACCCCACCAAAAAAACGAGAGAAAAGAGAAAAGCTGCTGCCCGGGGCTTGTGGGGGATTTCCCCAAAGGAGGGCTGGGAATTCCCTTCCTTCGAGGCAGAGGACTTCCAAGAACTGGCCCCCAAAAGATTTGGGGCTCCCAGCCGGAGTTGGGGCCTGCAGGATGGGGCAGCACAGTGGGACACAGAGGAGCTGACACCGCGGCCCTGTCCCAGCTCTGCCCTGGCACCGGGACGTGCCCAGCGGCCAGGCCCCGTGGGAAGTGTCCTGGTGGGACCCGGGTAAGCCCCTGTCCTCCGGCCCAGCCCGCGCCGCCGGCTGGGCGCATGAGCTGCCGCGGGGGCTAATCCAGGGCCCAGGTTAGCTAAGCGGATTGCGGGAGCTGCGTGTGGCCTGCAGCGGGATTTGTGTAGGTATTTGCTCGTCGGATCGTCTCTCCCGGAGCTGCTCAGCCGTGCGGGGTTTGGAGAACGCTCCCTCTGGAGACGCAGGAACCTCGGATGCCGTGCAGCAATTATGCCCAAGTCTGCCTGTAATCTTTAACGATTTATTCCCAGGGCAACACAATAAACTAAACACACAAAATCTGGGCTGCTGGGAATCCTGGGATCTCCCAGCTTGTGTCTCTGGAGGCTCCGGATACCTTCAACCACACTGAAATCTGCACACGCTTCCTGAAGCACCGTCTCCTGGAGCCGTGGGATTGCCAGAGGAGATGAGTTTCCTCCCAGGAAGGAGATGGAGCCATGTGAGGAGGGTGGCGACTGGGAAAGGGGCTCCTCAGAGATGCCCTGCCCCTGGGGCATGGCTGCTCTGCTGATGGACACGAGCAGGCCACGCTCACAGCCATGGCTGTGATGTCCCCTTGTCCCCACCACGGCCTCCTTCTCGGTGCACAAGGCCGAACTGCGGCAGGGCCAAACCTGTGGCCCCGGTTGCCCCCTCTCCTTGCTGGGGAGCCAGCTGGGGATGTGGCCCCTTGAGGGGCAGCTTTGCAGGCCCGGGGCTCCACAGCTCCCGGGGAGAACAATGGCACATCCCTGCCCCGGCCCCTCTCCCAGGGACAACAATGGCAGGAGCCAGAGCTGGAGCTGCCTGAGCTCATCTCCCCCCCTGAGAGCCCGGAGGGGGCCGGGGTGGGCGGGGGGCCGAAGGCTGAGCCACAAAGGGTCCCTCCCAGCCCAGCTCAGCTCAGCTCAGCGCCTCGTGCACGAGGGGCCTCGATCCCACCCAACCATCTGCACCCACCCCAGGGGAGGCTGTGTGGGAGGGGCACAGTGGCAGCATTTTGGGGCTGCAGTGAGCCCCCCCAGCTCCCTCCGGGCCCCTGCACCACTACCTCATGGGTCGGGGTGTGTGGCCCCCTCCCCGCTGCAGACTGGCCGCCAGATCCCCGCTCCAGCTGCTTTGTGTCTCGGTGTGCCAGGGCATTGTCTGCGAGAGAGACCCGGAGAGGCAGCCCGAGGTCATGAGCACCTCCCTGTGCACGTGGGGCAGCCACTGGCCCCACACACCACGGCCTGGGGGGAACTGGGTTCCACCCCGTGATCCTGGGGCATTGCCCCCCAGCACTGGTGCCCACCAGCCCACTTCTCCTCTGCTTCAAAAAACCCTGTGGGGTTGAATCTATTTCCTGGCTGGGCAGTGGGTGGTTGGGCAGAGGGAATCCCTGGGGGAGGGAGGGCCGGCCCAACCTTGTTATTAGACATCAGAGAGTCTCAATATTAGACATCGAGTCTCCACAAGCAGCAGTTTTGACACTCGGCTCCCAAGGAAAGCTCAGCCCATCCATTCCCTGCCCGCAGACTGCCTTTGACCCTAATCAGGGGGCACCCGGACCGGGAGAGGTGTCTGGCCTGTCCCTTCCCCACGGGGGGCTGTTCCCCCCTGCCCTGCCTGCAGCGGTCCCGTGAGGAGCAGGGGCAGCGCCGGGACCGGGAGCCCCGGTGGGGCAGAAGCGAGACCCCGGGAGGGGCCAAGACATCCCCGGTGGGCTGAGACCGGGAGGGATACGGCGAACCGGCATATCCGAAGAAGGATCCGAAACGGGGGGCAGAGGCTGGGACCCCTAGAGCACGACTGGGACTGGGACCGGGGCTGGGACCCGGGGTCAAGGGCTGGAACTCCCCGCGGGAGCAGGTGCGGGTACCGCCGGGGCCGCTGCCGGGGCCAGCCCGGTCCCTGCCCGGTCCCTGCCCCCGCCAGGCTCCACCCCGGGCGGTGCGGGATAAAACTTGGGGCACCTCCCCGGCAGCTCCGCGTCAGGGCTGCGCTCGGACCGGCTGCAGTGCTCGGCAGGGGACACCGCACGGATCGCCACCTCTCCCCGGGACGTTTCTGGGGTCTCTCTCCCTCTTCCTGCCGCCGGAGGCAGCTGAGCTCCCGCCGCGCCGGGATCCGCGGGGCCGCGCTCGGTGAGTGGGGCCGCGCCGGGCCGGGGGGAGCCCGGGTCGGGCTGCGGGGGGGAATCCGCGGATCGGGACCGCGCTCACTCGGTTGCTTTCCCTGGAGAGGGCAGGGTGGCCCCGCTTCCCCGGGGCTCCCGGAGGGGACTCACGGCAGAGCCCCGCTCGGGGTATCCGGGAGCGCTGCCCAGCCGCCGGGACCCAGCGTGTTCCTGGTCAGTCGGGGCTTTGTTTGCCCTCGGGGAACGGGAGCTGGGTCGGTTCCCCTCGCTCCGGCTTCCGGCACCTCGGTGCGCCCCTCTCGACCCCCGCCGCGTCCCGGGGAGCGGCGAACCGGGGGAGGGTGCCCGGGCCGGTTCGATCCGTCCCGGCGGGCGGGCAGCGGCCCCGGGGCGCACCGCGGCAGGGCCTCACGGTCGCTCGGTAAGGGCCGCCCGGCGGCTCGGTAAGTGCTCCCCGGCCGCCGGTGCGGCCCCCGCGGCCCCCCCGGGCGCAGGAGGCGCGGCGGGGCCGGCAGGGGGCGCCCGCGCTTTGCTGACTCATAGCCCCCCCGGGCCCCCCCGGTGCGGGTGCCGGGCCGGGGCCCCGGGGCGTCCGTTCCGCCCTCCGGGCGGGGGCAACCGGGGCTGGGGCCGTTGGGATGGAGGTCCCTGCTGCGGGACTGGGGATAGTGGAGATAGAAGCGTGCTGGGGGTCCCGGGGGGAATCAGCCCCCTGTCGGGACGGATCCCCGTAGCTGTAACGGCGTCACTGGGAAGGTGACGGGGTGGGTGCGTATGACCGGGCGGGTGTGACCGGCCGCGGGTGACTGTGCGGGTCCCCCCCGCCCTTTCCGCCTCTGTGTCCCCGCGTCACTGGGCTCCGGAGGCTCCGGCTCCCGCCCGGCCCCGCGGGCAGTCACCTCCCGCCGCGGCCTCCTCCGGTGCGGGGGCCGTTCACCGCCCCCGCCGCGGCGCTTCGGGGCCGCCGCCTGCCCGCGTCCCGCGTTCACCCCTCCGCGGCTCCCGGGCCTCGCACGCCAAGCCCGCCGGTCCCCGCGGGTGGGGGTGCCCGTCCGGACCCCCCGCTCCCGGCCCCGGCCCCTTTGTTGTGCGCCGGGATTATGAATGGCTCCAGGCGCGGCGCGAGGGCGCGCGGGGGGCGGCGCCGGGGGCGGGGCCGCGCGGCCGCGTGGGCGGGAGGAATCCGGCCGGGCCGCTCCTCCCGCCGGGGCCACGTGGGGAGCCTGCGCCCGCCCCCATTGGCCGCCACCGCGGATGTCTGGGCGGCCGGCGCGCCGCCATTGGCCGCGGCCGCCGGAGGAGCCGGAGTGAATGAGGGCGAGGCCCCGCCCCCCGGGACGTTGCTACATTGTAACTTCCCTCCCCCCCGGTGCTCCCACGGCAGCGCGAGCGGCGGCCGGTTCGGCGGGTCCGGCCCCACCGAGGGGGGAGCGAGGCGGCCTCCCCGCCCCTCGCCGCGGCCTCGGGCCTCACCCCGCCCCCAGACACCCCGCTCCGAGAGCGCACAGCGGCGGCGAGGAGAAAGAAAGGAGGCGGCAGAGCAGGGGCAGGCGGCAGGCAGGGACAGGCAGCGCCGCTTCTACCGCCCCCCTCCCGCGGCAGCCACCGGAGCGGGGCGAGCACGGGGGATTTTATATTTTTTATTTTTGTATATATATATATATATTATTTTCTCCGCCCGGGCCGCGGAGGGCCCGGCCGGTGCAGCCCTGCTTGGGGACCCCCCTCCCCATCCCCACAGCCGCCCCCCGCCTCCTCCCGGTCCCCGCCCGAGGCCTCGCCGGAGCTCTCGTGGGTCCCGCCGGGAGTGCGGCGGAGCGGGCCCCGCTTCTCTCCTTTGTCCGCTTCCGCACCCCCCGCGCCGCGTCCCGCCGTCGCCCCCCGGCACCGACCGCCGCTGCCCCCGCAGGTCGGCGGATGGACCCGCAGCCCGGCGCCAGGAGCTGCAGCCGCGGGGCTCCCGCCTGCGAGGTGGGGCCGCCCGAGCCCCCCATGAACCTCTACATCCACACCACCACCGGCACCCGCTATGAGCTCTCGGTGCCTGCCGAAGAGACGGTGGAGGGGCTGAAGCGGCGGCTGTCCCAGCGCCTCAAGGTGCCTAAGGAGCGGCTGGCGCTGCTGCACAAAGAGAGGTACGTCACGGGGGGGGATCGGCGCTGCTCGGGGGGCCCGGGGTCCCCAGCCCCCCGGTAGCGGGGCTGGGCGCGGGGGCGGCCCCCTCGCACCGGGCTCGGCACCGCACAAAGGCTCCCGCCCCCTCCCCCTTCCCGGCCCCATTCCTGTGCGGGGCGGGGGGGACAGCCCAGGGGCCGCGGCGGGGGCGAGCGGGGGCCGGGCTGGAGGGAGGGAGGGAGGGAGGGGACTCTGGGGTGGAGGGAGGGAGGGGGCGCCGGGCCGGGACCGGAGCGCGGCCGCCGCCCCCTCGCCCGGCCCTGCCGGGGCTCCTTTGTGGGCGGCGGGGCCCGGCCGTGCCCCGGCCCTTTGTTCTGGCCTCAGCCCCGGCGGCGGCGCGGTCCGGCCCCCCCCCGAGCCCCCAGCGCCGGGGGAGCCTTTGTCTGCTGGGGGCTGGGACCGAGGGGCTGAGCACCCCCACCGTGGAGCGAGGCGCGCGTGGGGCCAAGCCCGGAGTAACTTGGAGAGTCTCTCCCCGATCGGAGGGGGGACACACGGGGACACCGCGTCCATCTACCGGCACCCACGGGGTCGGGGGGGCACGTTCCCAGTGCTGCCTCTCCCGCCCACGTTTGTCCCAGCTTCTCTCCCACCTCCTCCCCCCGTGGGCAGGTTTCCTGTGCCGCGAAGCCCTGTATCCTTCCCTGTACCCTCTCCCCAGCCCAGCTTCTCCCTGGCCCCCTCACGCCGATGGCTGCAGCCCCCTCATCACTGCCCCATGTCTGGAGCAGGGGTGCCCCACACTGTGAGCTCTCCCTCTGGGGGGCAGCTGAGCAGTGGGGTGCCGGGGTCCCCTCCTGCCTGTAAGGGGTTGAAATTGCTTGGGGTGTGTGGGCTTGATCGCCTGGGAGCAGGCAGGCTTGCAGCTGGTGTCCCCCCTCGTGTGTCCCTCTGAGGGGTCTGCCTGGCCTGCACTGACCCTGCTTTTGGCATCTTCCCCCACAGCCGCCTGAGCTCCGGCAAACTGCAGGACCTGGGGGTCGTGGAAGGCAGCAAGCTGACACTGGTGCCCACCGTGGAGGCTGGCTTGATGGTGAGTGGCCTTTTCCTGCTGCTCCTTCCCTCCCTCCCACTCGTCCCTGTCTATTATTAAAGCCCCGGGCGAGGATGAGGATGAGGATGTGATGTGCTGGCAGCCCCGCGGCTCTGCTGCCCCAGCCCTCGCTGAGGAGGCAGCGCTGGGCTGGGCACGGCAGCAGGTTTAATATTTCACTCCTTTCTCAGGGCTTGTGTAGAAATAGTGGAAGTGACATGTCATCCCTCCCTCCCGCTGCGGACGCCCCCTCCTTCGCTGCATTTGTAATGTTAATCCCCCCCCTCCTCCTTTTTTTCCAGTCCCAGGCGTCCAGGCCAGAACAGTCGGTGATGCAAGCACTGGAAAGCTTAACTGAAACTCAGGTGAGGGGCTGGATGCCGGGGCAGGATGGAGACAAAGGCGGGAGGTGGGGGAAAAGGACTGCGGCGGCTTCACTCTGCTTCCCCTCCCAAAAGCTTTGGCGTTGGTGCCTCGCTGAGGTTTCGCCTTTAGCAGGGCTGGGAATGCTGAGGGTGGTGCCCGGGGCGGGCACCGTCACCCTGAGCAGCGCCGGGCGCAGGGAGGTCCCACACCGCAGCCTCGCAGCCCAAACAAGCCGGGAGCTGGGGAGGTGAAGTGACTCACTCAAGGTCACACGGCAGGTCGGTGGCAGAGCTGGGCGGCTCGGGGCCCTGCCTGGGGTTGTGGGGCTGCAGCCCACCTCAAAGTGCAGGGACAGGGCTGCCTGTTTTCCCCATGGCTGTTGTGGGTGTTGAGGGGGCTGGCAGGGCCACACTGGGAGCCTGTGGGGCTGCAGAGCCCAGCTTCCCCCCAGTGCCCAAAGGGCACTTCCCTCTCTCCTTGGAGCCATCCTTGGGGGGTGGGATTGGCCGTGCCTGGGTGTTCTGGCCTTCTCCGTGTCCCTCTCCATGTCCCTGCTCGGTGGCCTTGTGCTGGGGCGCCAGGCCCCCAGGAGGGGGGTGTGGAGGGGCCCGCGGGCGGCGTTGGCGGGGCCGCGGTTGAATCGCTGTGGAGTTCCTGGCAGTTGGCGGGGTGGGAGGTGGGCGAGCGGGGGGTCCTCGTTGCTGGGGGGTCTCAGCCATGGGGCGGAAGCGTTCCCAGGGTGGGAGAGCCGTGGGTGAGCCGTGGGTGCGCGCGCAGCCGCCGGCTCCTGCCGCGAAGGTGGAATTTACCCCCAGCCGCGCAGGCCCCACTCCTTTGTTTTCTGTCTCTATTACTGCTGTGAAACTCTTTCCTTCCTTTTTCTGGCTGATGCTGCAGATTCATTTTTTTAGGGGTTGTTTTTTTTGGGTTTTCTGTAACCTGACTCACAGAACCTGGGGAAGGAGCTGAGCCCCGCCTGGTGCCAAGGCTCGGACAGGGGGTTGGTGGGGGCATGGCTGTACCTCCCCTGCCGTGGGGATGTGGCAAGGGCCAAGCTGACCTGATCCCAGGGACTGACCTGCAGTGCCTTTGGCTGCCCAGGGTGACCTTGTCTTTTGGGGGCTGGTTTAACCCCATGTGGGCCAGCTGGGTGAGCTTGGACCGTAGCCCTGTGCCAGAGGCTGTCAGGGTCTGCAAGGTGCTCACGGGGTGCTGCCCATCCCAGCTGGGGTGCAGAGCTGTGGGAGGGGGCTGGTGCTGGCAGCCCAGCCCCGGGGTCCCAGTGCATGTCCTAGTCTCAGGGCTGAAGGTTTTTCTCATGAGGCTGTGCAGCTCCGCACCAGGGTGGGCTGTGAAGTGGGATGGACTGGGGAGCCAAGGAGCCCGTGGAGCTCGGGGTACCCCTTGCACTGGGCTGTGGCCCCGTCAGCCAAGCTCAGCAGGGTAGAGGAGGGTGGGTGGGTTACGGTCTGGCACCGGCTGTGGGAAGCGGCTCCACAGCTCCCTGCCCACCGCAGGTTCCTCCGGTCGGTGATTCAGGAAGCCAGGGCTGAGCAGGAGGAACCGCCAGCACCTGGGGGGCGGCGGGGGGGGGGGCAGGAAACCACTCCTCCCATTCATGCTTTGCTGGGCTCTGCCTGCGTCACGCAGCCTCCAGAGCGCAGGGAGAGCTGAGCCGCTTCCTCTGGGGGTGGGGGGGGGGCCGGGGCGCTGCCACCCCCTCCCCAGCCTTTGGGGAAGTGGCTGCTGGGCACGGGGGCTTCCTGGAAATGCTCCCGCGCTTCCTTCCGCCCTGCACGGCTGCCCCCGCTTTCCAAGGAGCCCACAAACCGTTTGGTGCCTTTGCCTCGGCTCTGCCTTCCCCCAGTCCCTCTGCCCAGGAATGCTGGGGGGGGGACACACATCCTGCTCTTCGAGGGCCGGACTCTGCAGCCAGAGGAATGTGGCTGGGGGGCTCTGTCCCTCTGCCCCCTTGGCACAGAAAAACCCCTGGGCAACGACACAAGTGGCTAGATGGGGGTCCCAGCTGGGCCCAACTGGAGACCCTGCAAGGGGTGTGGGGCCATTTCCTGCTTCCCCTTCCCATATTTGCCCCGGCCTTGCCTTTCCCGTCCGGATCTTCCAGCACGGTTCCCCTGTGCCTGTTTGGGGGTGCTGCCCTCCCCATGTGGGGCAGGGGCTCACCGGGGACAGCTCCCACTCTCTGCCAGCCCAGAGTGGGGGGCCTGGAGGTGTCTGGGGTTGGGGGCCGGGGTGACGCGGGGCCAGGCGTCGGAGCGAGGCGGGAATGCGGCGTTCTCTGAGTCATCTGGGTTTCTGAGAAGCAGCCGGGAGACACTTGCCCCATCCCTGTGGGCCCCGAGCCCGGCACGGTGCAGCTGAGCCCCCCAGGGCTTGGCAGGGTCCCCAGGGGGCCCTTGAGGGTGGGGGTTTTGGGGGCCCAATGGTCCCAGCCCCCTCGGCGGGGCTGTGCTGGCCCCCGCGGCACAGCCGGCTGGGAGGGACGGGGTCCTCCCGGCGTGGGCGGCCGAGCGGGCGGCTGGGTGGGACGTGTTTGCATTGGAGCGGGCTGGTTTCGCCGGGGGGGTTGGCAGCGGCGTGGGGGCGGGTGCTGGGAGCCCCGGAGCTGGGGCGCCGCGGGGACCCAGCCAGCTCAGGGCCACAGCCCAGCCCCAGGGGTGCTGCGGGGGGCCCTGGGACCCCCACGGCTGGGGACTGAGGGGGTGGCTCTTGGTGCCGCCGGGAAGCGCCGGCAGCGCGGGCCCGGCTGGGTTGGGGTGCTCTGGTTTCTCCCGACGCTGGCGAGGGGTCAGGCAGGGCAGGCCGGGGTGAGTCACAGGGAGCGGGAGGCCACTGACGTCAGAGGGCCCCGGGGACGTGTGCGGGGCTCCCCCGGGAACGCCGGGGTGCGGAGCCAGGGCTGGTGCAGGGTGGAGGGGCTGGAGCGGGGGTCCTGCCCCACTGCCTCCCCCTGTGTGTGGGGTGGGGCCGGGAGGCTGTGAGAGATCCCGCTCTGGAGCACGGTGGGAACAGGATGGGGGCTGGAGGGGACTGGTTCCCTTCCCTAAGCACGGGCAAGTGGTGCGTGGACCTGGTGTGGGGGGTCCCTGTGTGAGATCTCCCCCCTACACTGACTCTGAGCAGCAGCAGGGACGGGGTGGCCCAGCAGGCATGCGGGGCTCCTTGCACGGGCAGGAGGTGGCTGGAGGTCCGGACGGCTGAGCGGTGAGGACCAGCCTGGCGTGAGGCCACCCAGGCTGCTGTGGGCAGGGGAACTGAGGCAGGACGGGGGCGGGGGTGACGCTTTCCTGCGCCCAGGTGCTCTGTGCACGCACACGCGTGTGCACACGCGTGCCCATGTGCATGCCCGTCGTCCTCGCCCGCCCCCTCGCCCCGTAACCTCCCTGTCCAGAGCTGCAGTGTCTCCTTCCCGCCCACCCCTTCCTCTGCAGCCTCCGCCTGACACGCTCGGGGCTTTGCTGCTGGTATTTTTAAAGCTGCTTTTCCCACGGCTTCTCAGAAGCGGCCTCCGCGGCAGCGGGGGAGCAGGGCCGGGGCCGGGGGGGCCCCGCTCTGCAGCGCTGGGGGCAGGGGGGTGGTGGGGCCGCCAGGGATCCTTCGCCTCGTCCCGCCGCGGGTGACGGCTGCGCCCCGAAGGTGCCGTGGGGTGTGGGTGGGTGACGTCGGGAGCCGAGCGCGGCACCGCACGTGACGGGCTGGGAAAGCCGGGCCCTGCTGTGCCCTGGAATAGCGTGGCTGGGGGGTGGCGTCATCCCCATTAGCCCTGACCCCGGGTCCTGCCCACAGCCCCACGTGAGTGCCGGGCTGGCAGGGGCGAGAGGCACAGACCCCTGCAGTGCAGGGGGGGGCTCACGGCTGCCCCAGTCCTGCCAGGATGACGGGGGCTCCCCTGTTCCCTGGCACAGCTGCCAAGTGATTTATGTGTCGTGGGGGCTGAGCAGTGTGTGCTGGGGGTGGCAGGTGTTGGGGATTGGGGGGCCCCCCACAGCTGCGGCCTGGGCAGGGTCAGGCCCCAGCTCTTTTCTCTGCGCTGCAGCTGCTCCATCACCTGCCGGAGCTGGAGCCTCCAGGCTGGGCAGGGCCTGCTCCCCACTCCAGTCTGCCCCTGGGGTGGGGGGAAGGGGGCAGGTGGGCTGCACTTCCCTGCCTGGCAGCCCTGAGTCACAGTGGTGGGCATGCAAGGACCCAGCATGTCCTCACCTGCCCCCTCCCGCTCTCCCTGTGCCTGCGGGGGCACCCCTCGTGCTGGGGAGGGGCACCCCCTTCCCGGGCACTGGGCTGGCCAGAACAGCAGTGCTGGCCCCGGGGCTGTGGGCGGCCCTGGCTGCAGCCCCTGCCTGCACTGGGAGCTGCTGGGACCTGTGCTGGGGAGGGTGGCTGGGCAGAGAGGGCATCTTGCTGCTGCGGAATAAAGGGCAGGAAGGGCAGAAGGAAGAAAAATACCCCCCCGGCACCGTCAGCTGACAGAGCTGGCACTGGAACAGGGTCATACGGGGACAGCAGCCAAGCTCTCCTGCCAGCCTGGCACGGCTGAGGGGCTGGGTGGGGGTCACCCTTTCCCTGCCCCAATGACCCATCCCTACGGCTGTAGGAGACCTGTGGAGGCAACTGCCATCTCCCCTGCTTGGCCCCAGGGGGGCAACCGCCATCCCCCTGCCTGGCAGCGGGGTGGGGGAGCCTGAGCACGGTCTCACTGTGTGCCACAGCTGAACGGGGTCCCTTCTCTCTGCAGGTCAATGACTTCTTGTCGGGCCGGTCCCCGCTGACCCTGGCCCTGCGCGTGGGGGACCACATGATGTTCGTGCAGCTGCAGTTGGCGGCTCAGCAGAGCACGGGGCAGCTCCAGCACCGGCACCTCATCGCCAGCCGCGGCGAGGCGGGGGCCAGCGCCAGCCCCCACTGCCGGACGCTGCACGGCGCCGCCGGCTCCGGCTTCGCCCGCATCCCCGTGGTGCCCACGTGCCAGCAGAGCCCGGCCCCCAGCCCCACGCCCGCCACGCCGGCCCCCCCCATGTACTGTAACGCCCCCCACCCCGCGCCCATCACCGCCGGCATGTTCCGGTCGCACGGGGCCAGCGCGCAGACGGTGAACAGCAGCGTGGTCTCCTCCTGCTCAGAGGTGAGTCTGGGGGGGTTTCGGGGTCTTTGGGGCAGGGAAGCGAAGCTGTGAACTTTCCCAGCCCTGCTGTGGCAATGCCTGTCCCTGCCTCAGTTTCCCCACGTGTGGAACAGCATTGTCCCCAGTCTGGCCTCTGGAATGTCCCCAGGTCCCAGGGAGGGACTCAGGGACAGGGTGTAACCCAGGCTCTTTACACTGCCTGTCCCACACCCTGCCTGTCCCCAAAAGTGGGCAGGAGCTGCTGTTGCTTCCCTTTTCCCCTCACACAGCACAGCAGGGCGGGGCAGGCTGTTGGGACCCCCAGGGCAGGGGACGCTGGTGCACAGAGGGGTGGGACAACCATACTTCCTTGTGTCCCAGTAAAACTGGGCTGGGGCTGCATCCTGCTCCCTGCCTGGGAGCCTCTGACCTGGCTGTTTGGGAGGAGGCAGAAGGGCAGGAGCTCCCCAAAGTCCCCTTCCCAGAGGCTGATCCCACTTTTCTCCCCTCCCAGGTGGACTGTGGCTCCCGCAGCAGCAGCTCCCCAGGCAGCAGTCCGGCCCCCTCGGCCCGATCCCGCAAGCCCGGGGCGGTCATCGAGAGCTTTGTCAACCACGCGCCCGGGGTCTTCTCAGGGACCTTCTCCGGTATGTGGTGCTGAGCCTCGCCAGGGGCTGTGGGTCTGGGGGATGTGGGGACAGTGGGGCTGTGGATCTGGGGGGGCTGCTCGTCTCACACCCACCTCTGCCCCTCTGCAGGCACTTTGCACCCCAACTGCCAGGACAGCAGCGGGCGGCCGCGGAGGGACATCGGCACCATCCTGCAGATCCTGAACGACCTCCTCAGCGCCACGCGACACTACCAGGGCATGCCCCAGTCCCTGACGCAGCTCCGCTGCCAGACGCAGTTCTCCTCCTCCTCCTCGCCTCCTGCCTCCCCAGACCTCGCCACCAAAACTACCTCAGAGTCGCTGCCAGCGGCCACCGCCCCCCCCCTGCACCCCGTCGTCCAGTGCCAAAGCCAGATCCGCATGTGCAAGCCCAGCGGTGAGTCTGGCTGCCCCCGACTGTGGGTGGGGGGTGTGAGGGGGTGGCAGGTGCCTACGGTGTCCCCACTCCCCTGGGAGCTCAGGGTCTGTCCCCATCATACGAGCGGAGGTCTTGGGGTCACCCAGACTCTGGCTCCCCCTCATCTCCCCATTTCCAAACCCACCTTCCCAGACTGGCTGGCAGGACTGGGCCCCAGCGGGGTGTGGCAGGGACTCCCCCGGCCCCCTGGTGTTGTGGGGACACACCTGTGCCCCTGGGGCCGGAAGGTGCTGGAGGTTCCCCCCCGGACCCCCAATTTGCTTAGAGGAAAGAAGTGAAACCGATGGTGCTGGCTGGGGGAGCTCATCCCCCTCAGGGTTTGCTCTTCCTTCTCTCCCAGCTGGGGGGCCCAGACCCCCACCGGGGGCAGCTCTGGGCTGGCTCCAGCCCCCGGTGACATGGTCAGGGCTTCCAGGGTCACCCCAACTCTCTCTCTGCCAGGACCCCAACCCTGTCCACCTTGTTTGGGTATAAACGGAGTTTCGTTGTGGGGACCCTGCACCCCACTATAGGCAGGGGCTGTGTGGCTGGCTGGGGGCCTGCGTGCCCCCCGCCCTCAGCAGTCCAGGGCAGCCCCCCATGAGCCCCTCTCCCCTTTGCCCCTGCAGGGGACCGCCTGAGGCAGACGGAGAACCGGGCGACGCGCTGCAAGGTGGAGCGGCTGCAGCTGCTGCTGCAGCAGAAGCGGCTGCGGCGGAAGGCGCGGCGGGACGCGCGGGCGCCGTACCACTGGGTGCCCAACCGCAAGGCCGGGCGCACCAACAGCAACAGCAGCGTCTCCAGCGAGGGCAGCCTGGACCTGGACTTCGAGGACTCGGTCTGGAAGCCGGAGGTCAAGGCCGAGATGAAATCCGAGTTTGTCGTAGCATAGAGAGCCCGTGCCCGGGTGGGGCCCCGGGGGACTGTGCCGGGGGGTCCCGCTCGCCGCCCCTGCTGGGGGGGTCAGCGCGGGTGTCACGGGCCGGGGCTCCTCGAGATTTGCCGTCTCCTGCGTCCGGACGCCTTGGGCCGACCCGCGTGTCACGGGGACAGCCCCCCACCCCCCGCTCGCTTGGGTTAGGGGAGATGGGGGGAGCAGCTGGAGCCGCCCCCTCCCGCAGCCTCCCCGGCTGGGAATGGGGGTCCCGACACCCCGGGGGGTCCTGGGACATATCGAAGCTGCTGCTTTGCTGTGAAGAGGGGCTCGGGGGGGGTGCTCTGGAACCCCCCGCGTCACCCCCTCAGTGCAGGCAGGAGGAGGTGAAGTCTCTCTCGGAGGTGCTGGAGCCCCCCGATCTGGGGGTCGTTTGTTTTCCTTCCCTTCTATATGTAGCATTGCTCGGCTGCGGGGCTGGGCCCCCCCGGGCGCTCGGGGGGGACACGTGTGTGCCTGGGCCCCGCCGCCGCAGCCCGGGGAGGGGGGACGGGGTGGGGGGCTTTGTTTTGGGGGTGTTAATTTTGTTTGGGGAGGGAGAAGCCAAGGCGCCTTCCCTCCGCGGCCGAGCCCAACTTCCGAGTCGCTGGACTCCTTCCCACCCGCCACTTGGGTGGTTGGATTTTCTTTTTTAACTTAAAGAAAAAAACAAAAAAGGAGAAGAAAAAAAAAAAGAGAAAAAACCTGAATAAATAACCCCAAGCCCGGTCCCGGCCGCGGGGCCGGTATTTATAGACATTAATGACCCGACTGAGCCAATACTGACATAGTCTTCATAGGCCGTAGGATCCTTTTTCTTGTCCGACTTGGATTTTTTTCCGTCAGGATCTGTGCAAATAGAGCCCCCACGTGACGTGTTTTTTGTCTGTAAAAGTCTTTTTTTTTTGTGTGTGTTTCGGGGATGGGGGGGGCGGGGGGGAGAGCGAGGCTTTTTCGGTCTTTAATATTTTATTTTTTATTTTTGAAATAAATTTGGGCAGTCTGGATGCAGCCGTGCCTGGTGTTGTTATGGGGGGGGGAAGGGGACATTTGGGCACCCCGTTGGTGTTGGTGGGGGGCACACAGGACAGCTGGACACCCCCTCATCCTGCCTGCAGCACCTTGAGGTCACTACCTCGGTGCCACCCAGCCGTGTGCCTGTGCACACCCAGGGCTGTGCGTCCTCAGCTGCACCGTGCTCTGCACACCTGTCCACATATGTGTGCCCAGCACTGCACAATGTGTGCACACAGCCATGTGCCCATGTGTGTGCTCAGCACTCACATACGTGTGTGTACCCGCAGGAGGAAGAGGGGGGTGATGGAGCTGCCCCATCCTCCAGGGCAGGGCTGTTTCCACCTTTTCCAGGTGCCAGACCCAGGCCCGTGGCCCTGCGGGGGCTCATCCGACCGGGTGCTCCCGGTCCCGTCCCACCTCGAGGAGCCAGGCCGGTTCCACCAGCTGGGCTGGCCGTGTGTGCTGCCTCCTTCTCTCCCTCTCTCCCTCCCTTCCTGGTCTCCTGTGTCACAGAGGGGTGGCTGCGGGCCAGGGTGGGGGATTGATGACCACAAACCTGGCTGTGCCTCAGTTTCCCCACCTGTGGTTGCAGGTCAGTGTCCTTGTGGTTTTCCCCTGCCCCAGGAAAGGTGACGGGATGGGGGTGGCCCTGGGGACGTGTGTCAGTGCCATCCCACCCGTGGGACCCTCTTCCCACAGCCCCAGGTTTCCCGGGGTGTCAGTGGTTGTGCAGTGCCAGGGCACGGGGACACCGTGGGCTGGGATGCCCCTGGAGCTGCGCTGTGACACTGACATGGTGGCATGTTGACACTGTCACCCCCAGGCCCTGGGCACACCTGGGGGTGGATGAATCCTCATGAGGGGCTGTTATTTGGGGAGGGGGCAGAGGTGGCTCTTGGTCCCCTGTGTGTGTCCCCTGCCATGTCCCCCCTGCCCTGTCCCTGCACCCGGGGACTGGGGAGGGGGAACAATCCAAAGCTCCGTGGGGCACTCAGCACCCCGTGGGCAGGATGGAGGTCTCAGTGGTTCTTCCCACGGGGAGCTGGCTGGACCCCAGACCCCCGAGCAGCCGAGCGCCGGAGGAAGCCGGGTGGGAGCGGAAGCAGCTCAGGTTCCTGCGGTGACAGGAGCTGCACCGGGCACCCCGCGCCCTGCTTTGACGTCATTTCGGGTAGAGCAGACCTCGGCAGCCCCCGGCCCCCCCGACACCCCCGGCCCGTGCCAAATTTGGCAAGGGGAAGAGCCGCCGACAGCGGCAGGAGCAACACGGAGACCTTGTAAGGCAATCGCTGCCGGGAGGGCACGCGGGGGACACGCACACGCGTGTGCACAAAGGGACGTGTGCCAGAGCCGTGCAGGGGGGGGCACACACACCATCGAGCTGTGGCTGCTCCCCCAGGGACCCCAAACCCCCAGCCCGTCCTGGGGGGTCCCAACAACTGCTCCTATCCCGTGAGCTCAGCTCAGGGTTTGGGGTCCCGGAGGAGCCGGAGGTGCTGCAGGGTGTGAGCTGGGACAGGCCCTGCATGGCACGGCTTTGCATGGCATGGCACAGGATGGACCAGGCACCCCCAGGAGCTGCCTGGGGTACAGCAGGAGACAAGCCAGGACATGGGGCACCACCTTGTGCCACAACACCTCCTCCTCCTTGCTGCCCCCAGCCTGGCCAGCACCCGGCACTGCTGCCAGGCTTATCCCAGTGCTCCCAGTATGGAGCAATCCCAGCGCCAGCGTCATGCCTGCGGTGTGGCGCCTGCCGGGGGGGCAGCGTGGGTGTCACCTGGCAGTGTGTGTGTCCTTGCACAGGGGTGTGTGTCTGCAGGAGTGCCCCCATGCACACGGGCGTGTGTCCGTGCACCCACGGCTGCTGGGTGTGGGCAGCTGGCGAGGGTGCCCCCCTCGTCCCTCCACCCAGCCCTCACTGCAGAGGGTGCGCCAGGAAACACCCACAGCTCCCACAGCTCCCAGAGCTCCCGGCACACCCGTGGGCTCCCGGCACACCCGTGGGCCCTGCGCACGCCCACGGCGCCGGCCACGCTGCGGCCCCGCGGTGCCGGACACACCCGGGCACTGGCATGCGTGGGGCAGCACGTCAGTCCTTGCACACCCAGCCCTTGCACTGAACACCCACCCACTGCACCCCACAAACACCTCCAGCCTCGCCGCACCCCCTGCCTGCCAACACGCGTGTGCACCCATGTGTGTGCAGTGCCTGTGCCTGCTGTGCCCACCCCTCGGCCCTGGGACCCCTGCAGCAGCCTCTGCTCCCCCCCGGCACAGGGCACGTCCTGGAGCCCCAGCCCCGCAGGCCCCTGGTATCTTCCCCGCTGTGCCCGGCGCTGGCTGCAGACGAGGCTGGCACGGCGGTGCCAGACGCCGGGTGGGCGACGCTGCCGCGTGTCCCTGGCACGAGTTGGGAACGCGGCGTCTGCCGTAGCGGGGTCCCAGGTGGGGGCGAGCCCCGGCCCCCGCGTGGGGCTGCAGGCAGTCCCCCCCACCTGGCTCTGGGGCACCCGCCAAGGCTGGGGCACCCATGGGTAGGTACCCCCGGGCATCCCTGAGGGTGCAGAGACCCCTGAGGGGCTGAGGCCCCTGCACCAGGCCCCAGTGCTGCCATGGGCCGGGCTGTGGGCTGGCAGCCCAGGCGTGGGGTGCAGAGGCAGCCGGGGGGGCCGGGAGCTGCCGGCACAGGGACGGATCCTGGAATTAAAAACATTCCAGGAACTGACTTTGAACCAGATAAAATAACAAGCGCCGCGAGGAATGTCTCACCCCGCCCGCCTGCCACGGCCCCAGGGCGCTCCCCACGGCCTCCCACTGCCCCACACGTGTCCACAGGCCCTTGCACACGCGTGTGCACACCGCCAGTGTGCCCATGTGTGCACTCCAGCCCGGCTGCAGGTGCAGCCCCAGCGTGCCCAGGTTGCGGGGAGTCTGGGGCTCCCCAGGGGTCCCCAGAGCATGGGCTGAGCACCCCATCTGCAGTGAGGGTTTGCAGCACCCCTGGACTGCTCTGCGAGGCTGCACACACAGCCTGTGGGTATCGCATGTGCACACATGTGTGAACACGGCTGTGCACGCGTGGCTGTTGTGGGTGTGTGCTCAGCTTTCCCCTCCCTCCCCCCAGGCATCCCCAGCCCGCTTCCAGCCTGGTGGGGGGGGGAACAGAGGGTCCCCCCCATGTCCTGCCCAGCCCAGGGGCCTCCTTGGCCCCCCCAGCCTGGCCGGCAGAGCCCGGCGTGCCTGGGCGGTGACATCACGGGGGCAGCAGGGGCGCGGCGCCAGCACATCCCTGGGGACCCCCCACCCGCTGGGGCTGGGGTCGCAGAGGGGACAGAGCAGCAGCAGGAGCTTCACTGGGAAGCGGCACTGGTCAAACTGGGTGTCCCAGTCTGGCTGCCTGCCCGTGCCAGAAGCAAAGACCCCAAATCCCCTTCCCCACCTCCATGGAACCCCCCAAAAACATCTCCCAGCTGACATGCTGTGAGAGAGGACACGAGCCAGCTGGCCTCCACAGGCCAATGGGGATGTCATCCACAGGGGATGACACTTAAATGGCCCTGGTGTGGGCAAAGGCTGACTCCCTGTGTCACCCCAACCCTGCAGCCTGTGCTGTGGGGGTCCTGCCCCCACGGCGTGGTCCCGGACACTGTGGCGGGGCCCAGGGGACACGGGGCTGGAGCGCAGTGCCGGTGCGTCACCGTGTTTACGAGGACCTCGAGGAGCCCTGGTGACGTCCACGCTGGGCCTGCCAGCCCAGGCCCTGCCAGGTGGCACAGTGCCACTGCCACCTCCGGACACCGCTCAGATTTTCAGGGCTGGCGAGGGGCCATCTGGCCCCTGGGCCCGGTGGCTCAGGGGGCACGGAGCAGGGTGTCCCCCCCAGGAGCCACCGTGTGAGCAGCAGATGGGGTGTGCACGGGGCTATTTATAGCAGCGGGACCCACAGGTAGTGACAGTGCGTCAGCGGTGATGCAGCCCCGGGGACGCTCGGCCACACACCCCCACAGACACATCCCGGGGGGCCCCCCGACCCCCCGGGCTCCATCTCCCAGGAGCGGGGTGCTGGGGGGGTCCCCGTGTGTGCCGGTGATGCTTGCAGGCTGCTCAGCCCTTGTGTGTGCTGAGGGCCACGTGCCTGCACCCCCCGGCAGGTCCCCGTGTGTGTACATGTATGTGCACATGGTCCCTGAGAGTGGATGTTGTCTCTGCATGGCCAAGGCTGCGTGTGTTGCTGTGTGTGCCCACACGTGCCCCAAGTGCACGGCTGCAGCTGAGCTCATGTTGCTGCGTGTGCCTGTACATGGCCACACGCGTGTGTTCTGCTGCATGCACACGCTGCGTGTGTGGCCGTGGCGTGTCTCTGCGTGTGCGCGTGGCCGCGGTGGCCGGGGGTGACTCAGCCCCCAGGCAGCCCAGGAATGCCCCCTCCCCATCCCCTCCCCGCCCCTGGCCTGTGCTGGGAACGGGCCGTCCTGGGGACGGTGACACCCAGGGCTGACCCAGACCTTGCTGGGAAGATGAGGCGGTGCCCCCCTCCTCGTTCCCCCCATCCTTCCCCTCCCCCGCCTCCATCCTGCCCCCCTCCCATCCTGCCTTCTGGGAACCGCTCACAGAGGCGGAGGTGGGGGGCCAAGAGGCTGGGCAGGGCTGGGGCCCTGCGGCTGGCAGGAAGGGGGCTCCCCCGGGGACCCCTCGGCTCCCCCCGGGGCCCGGCCGGGCTGGACCCGGCAGGCTCCGCTCCGCGCCCCGCGCTCCGCCCCGGGCTTTCCGCGCGCCCGGCCCGTTCATTCATAGATCGCGCGCGCTGCCGGCCCATTCATCCCGGGCGCGAGGAGCTCCGTTACCATGGCAACCGCCCCCCCCCTCCGCACACCCGGCGCGGCCGCGGAACCCCCGGGACTGAGGGGGGGCCGGGGGGTCCCTGCGCCACCCGAGCCCCCCGGTACGCACGGTGGGGGGGCCTGGGACCGCCCGAGGGTCCGTGTGCGTGACGGGGGCGGGGGCGGCGGGGGTGGGGGCGTTTTCCTGGCGGCAGGACCCGGGGGGAGGTTGTGCCCGGGGGGAGGTTGTGCCCTGGGGTCCCCCCGTTCGCACGGCTGCAGGGAGGGCGAGGGCTCCCTTGAGACTCCCGCCGGCTCAGCCCCCCGAGCCTCGGGCAGCGGCTGCCACGTCGGCGGGGGCGGCCCTCCCTCGCCCCCCGGGCTGGGGCAGCAGCCCGGCCCCGGCGGTTTCCATCGTGGGCCGGGCTTGGCGCAGCCTTAACCTTGACCTTCTCCCGCTCCCCCCTCCCCCCGTCTCTGTGGTCGTGGCACTGAGCTCCAGCGCTGCGGAATGCAAACCGCCCCCCAGAGTGGTGGGGACCCTCCCAGAAACGCCCCGGGGGGTGCAGGGAGTGCGGGGGCTGTGGGTGTCAGGGGTACGAACTGCAGGGTGGCAGAGGGGTGCACCAATCCTGCACATGAGTGTGGGTGCAGGTCACACGTGTGCACCCGAGGCTGCGTGTGCAGGGGATTGTGCAGACCCTGCGACCACCCTCCTGTGCATCCCAGGTCCAGTTGTGTGGGGAGGACACATGTGGTGCCATGGGCACCCATCACACAGGGCCTGTGTGGGTTGTGGCAGAAAGCTCCAGAGTGTGCCAGGGGCTGGGGGAATGGGGGGGAACTGGAGCTGGACGAATCTTCCAGACAGCCTCTTCTGTCTCCCCAGGGCATCTGGAGAGAGGAGCCACAGGTGGAGGAGAAGCTGCTGCTCCAGCCCCAGAGGTGAGCTCCAGCCCCAGAGGTGAGCTCCAGCCCCACAGGTGAGCTCCAGCCCCACAGGTGAGCTCCAGCCCCACAGGTGAGCTCCAGCCCCACAGGTGAGCTCCAGCCCCACAGGTGGGCTCTAGCCCAGGGGCTGAGGTGCCAGTGTGACAGGGCAGTGCTCCAGGTTGGTGTGGGGCTGAGCGTGGGTCCTCACATGGCTGCACTCGCGTGTGTGTTGCACAGACGGGTTCTCCTGCAGCTCGTGTGTGTGGAGGACACGGGCAGGAGAGCGTGTGCATGTGCACACACGTGTTAGTGCTCATGCCTTGGGCACATCTGTATCTGTGTGTGCTCTGAGCCCCCGCGGCCTCGCTGCCAGGGTGGGTGGGTGGGTGCTCAGGGCCGTGCTCACGCCGGGGGTTGCCCTCACATGCAGCCGTGTGCGAGTCGTGGGCTCTGCACGCCGGGCCGGGCTCCTGGCGCTGCCGGGATGACTCACGGGCTCGCAGAGGAAGCCGTGACTCAGTCCTGGATTCCTGCCCCTCCCCACCCCCCGGCCGCTCCGGCCATCGTGGCCACGTGGAGCCCGTGGGACCTGTGGCCGGCCTGGCGGGTCACAGCAAGTTCTGGGGGTCCCTGTGGGGCTGCTGGGAGCAGTGCTGGGGGCACGTGCCCCTTCCCTCGACCATGGGGTCCATGGGGTCCGTGGGGACCCCAGTGCCTTTGGGCGCTTGGGAGGAGGCAGCCGCGGGTGCTCGAGGTGGCAGTGACCTGCCCCGAGTCCCGCCCCAGCTGGCCGCGGGGTTCCGGCTCGGGCACGCTTCCCGGGGTGTCTCGGGCAGCTGCAGCTGTGCCACCCCCAGGCAGCGGTGCCAGGCACTGCCCCGAGCTCCCACGCGGGGGGCTCCTCTGTGCAGGGGCTGGGGCTGTTCCACCTGCCCTGGGTTTGCTGTGGGTTGGGGTGTGGCAGCGGCTCCACCTGCCCCTGGCGCTCAGCCACCTCTGGCACCAGGCTCTGCAGCTGCCCTGGCTGCCGGCCCAGTGCCGGGTGGGGGTCCGGGGTGCCACAGGCAGCACCAGGGACCTGGGCAGGGGACAGCTGGCTGCAGAGGGGGCGGTCAGTGGTGCCCTGTGGTGCTGAGGTGCTGAGCCAGGGGCAGCAGTGCTGTGCAGTGCTCAGGGTGCTGTGTCGGGGTCACTGGTGCGTGTGGTGCCCGAGGTGCTGTGCTGGAGGTGCCATGCAGTGCACAAGGTGCAGTGCCACAGCACGGGCAGCCTCCGTGAGTCAGAGCAAGGTGCAGTAGCTGCCCCCTCCCCACTCGCCAGTTCCCAGGCCCTGCTCACCAGATTCACTTTCGCAATGACTGGTGCAGCCACTCCAGCTCTGCTGAACTCGCCCTGGCCCACACTGCCCACGCTGCCTGTGGCCTCCTGCCCTGTGTCACCACCTGTGACCCTGCACGGTGCTGCTGCTGACCTCAGCAGAGCCCCCTGAGCCCTGGCCCTCACCAGCTCCTGCCCCAGGTGTGCCGAGCACGGCAGGGTTTGCCCTCCTGGGCAGACCCCGCGTGTCCCCGTGGGGCTGCAGCCCCTGCGCAGGGCCAGGGTCCGGCGGGTGGCACTGGGGTGTCACGGCCAGCAGTGAGTCAGCACAGGCAGGTGGGGACGGACACAGGGACGCCGTGATCGGGACGCTGTGATCGGTGAATGACTCATGTGTTAAACAAACAAACAGGCGAGTCTGTGTCGGCAGCTTCCTCCTCGCCCCAGCACCGGGGAGCCGTCGGTGCACCCCGGTCACCGAGCCCCCACAGCAGAGCTGCTGCCACACGCGGGGTCACAGGCACAGGGACACGTCCAGGCACAGGGAACCCCTGCCCCGCAGCCAGCAGGATGGTCTCGGGGGTCCTGGGGCAGGGGGTGACGGGCCCTGGTGATTCCTGGGATCCCCAAACACCTGCCTTTCGCCCTCGCTGCAGGGGCTGCAGTGGCCGGAGCCGGGCGGGCAGCTGGCTCCCACAGCCGGGGATTTCCCAGGTCCAGCCTCACCTGGGCTGGAGCCGCGTGGCCTCTCCCTGGGCCTGCAGGTGTAAAACCCAACCGTAGGCAACCACCCAGCCCATGGCACAGCTGGCCTGCCCGGGCACCCTGCGGCTCAGCCACATGCCTGCCAGGCTGGGAGTGAGGGGGGGTGGCAGCCAACTGCCCACCAGCCCTGCATCGTCCCGGTCCTGCAGCCCCTGACCTGCAGGTCCCACTGCTGAACCGAGGTCAGTCTGTTCTCAGTCTAAAGGTGTTTGTCCCGGGCCCTGCTGCACTGGGGGGCTGTGAGCAATGCTGTGCCCCGGCACAGGGTCCATCGCCCCGACCCCGGGTGGGGCTGTGCCGTCACCACCAGCGAGTCCAAGCGTGACCCGCGGCCTCGCGCGCACACGCACCCAGAACGTCAGGAATGTTTTGTGGGGAGCTGGAAAATGGTCGGTCGTTTACTGGATTTTTTTCCACCCTTTCTGCTGTGGGTTTGGCTGGGGGCCCGGGGCGGGCTTGGGGGGGGTGGGTGTGAGCAGGCGTGTGAAGAGCCGGGTGTGACGGGGCTGGTGAGGGCTGCGAAAGTGCTGAGCTGGTGTGAACCCGCCATCCCCATCTCCTCCTCTCCAGCCCTTCCTGGAAGCGGCTGCAGGGAACGTTCCTGGCGGGTGTGGTTACGTGGGCAGCTGTGCCCATCCCCAGGCGTCGGGCGCCTCGGGAGGGAGGGAGAGAGAGCCCATGAGGCCAGAGGCAGGGGCTGCAGCCTGGGGGGTCAATGCAGGTGCCCTGTGTGCTCCTGCCTCGCTGAGGGGGGACAGGGTGAGGGGCCCACACAGGCTGGGCATGTTGTTGCTCCTCAGGTCCGTGTGGCACTTCCCCTTCCCCATGGTGGGAGCGTGTCCTGCCTGGAGCCACACGCTGAGTCAGGGACAGGACAGGAATAGAGTCGAGTGCCTGAGTCACAGCCTGCGTGCAAAACCAGCAGCACTTCCCCAGGAAGGGGGAACCCCAGTGCCCTGACACCCCCTGGTATTGTGTCAGCCACTTCCCTGGGATCAGGGTCCCCCACTCCTGCATGGGCCATGGCTCCCTCTGGAGCTGGGACCTGCCAGCACTGCTGGCTCTGTCCCTTGCTGCTGTCACCAGCCACAAGGACAGGAGGTCAGGCAGGGATGCAGGCAGGGAGGGGCTGCCCCACCACAGGACCTTCCCTCTGTGCCCAGGCAGGGCATGGACCCTCCTCAGCCCCCAGTGCCAGCCAGGGCGCCGTGCTCGTGCTCCCCTCGCACACGCATGTGCACAGTGCACCCCCACACCCGCCCGTGCATTGCCCTGCGAGTGTGACAGACCCTCCTGCACCTGAGCCCCCCCAGCCATCCGGCTGTTCCCCCGCCAGCTCTCACAGACCCTCCCTCCCTCCTCCCCCAGAGCGTTCCTGCAGTGTCTCCATTGATAAATCTGGAGCGTTGCCATGGCGACGCTGCCGGGGGGGGATGCCGAGGGGCCCAGGCCCACGGCGCTGAGTGGGGGGCTGGCTGGATTCACGCGTGTGATTGCACACATGTGTGTGATTGCACAGGTGTGTGGCTGCACATGTGTGTGCAGGTCCTGTGCCGGGGGCTCGGGGGGCCCAGCAGTGTTTGGTGGCTGCACTGCGCCGGCTGTGGGACCCCCCTGGGGGGGCTGCAGGGGGTCTGGGGCAGGGGTTGGCTCTGGCATGTAAGGGGAGCACGGAGGGGGCTGGAACTGGGCCCTGCGCTGGGGAAGCCCCAGGACCACCCAGGGACCACTCACGGCCTCCAGCACAGCCAGGCAGCTGCAGACCCCAGCGGGGCTGGGGCTGGGGGGGCTGGAGGGGCTCAGGCAGGCAGTGCCTGTCCCCAGGCAACTCCCGCTGCTCCCTGCACCCTCTAGCACCCAGGGCTGCTGCGCTCGGGGGTCCACGTGGGGAGCCCACGTCTGCTTTGGCCACACGTGTTCGACCCCGTGGCCGTGGGCAGAGCCCGAGGCTGCTGGTGCCGCAACCCTGAGCACCCTGTGTGGGATCAGGGGTGCTGGGGGAGTGCTGGGATCTCAGCCAGGAGCCATGGGGCACAGACAGGCCCTGGGGGTAGGGGGTGACGCCGCCAGCGGGGCCGTGGCACACGCATGGGCCGCACAGGCACACGCGCGCGGTGCCGCGTGGGCAGGATCGGTGCGTGTGGCGTGGCTGCCCTCTGCTGCCACGGCCACGGCAGCGCCCAGCACCGCGGCACCCGTGGGACGCTGCGGGGGGGCCGCGGCAGGGACCCCCTTTGTGCAGAACAATGGCAGCCCCCTCCCGCCGGCCCTCGCCCGCACCCTGCTTTCTGCGCTTTCAGATTCTTGAGGAGGGGGCTCAGCCCAGGGCAGGCCGGTGTCGGTTCCTGGTGGTCCCCGCTGGTCTGGGGGGCGTGGGGCCGGTGTGGGTCCTGCAGCTCCGTCCCATCCTCCATGCCGCGTTGGGAAGCAGGTCGTGTCCAGCTCCCGGCACGGCGGCAGTGCTGGGGGAGCTCAGCTTTCTGGGGCAGCTCAGGGCTGCTGGGAGCAGCTGCTGCTGCTTCCTGCGCTTTCGGGGCTCGGAGGGAAGGTTTCCATCGGCACTGGGCTACGAGGCACTGCCATCTGGGGGACAGCGCACTGGGGAGCTCAGCTCCCCCCTCCCCTTCAGCTCACCCCAAGGGGGGCTGGGGGCACCTGTCTCCTCCCCATATATAGGGAGGGCTGTGGGGAAGTGGGGGTTCTGTGCAGGTTTGTCTGAGGAAGCTCACTGGGTGGTGGGATGCTGGGATGGGCTGGGATGAGCATTGTGGCTCCTTGCAGAGGTGTGAGGTCAGTGGGATGCTGGGGGTCTTGGCTGCTCCAGGAAGGGCATCCCCCTGCCCAATGGAGGGCTAGGGGTGAACTCCCAAAAAGCCCTTTGCTCCAGGAGTTGCTCCCTCGGCTCAGGGCAGCTGATCTGGGTGGTACCAGCCAGTGCAGTGCCAGGATCCGGCCTTTCCCTGCGGAACGCCCGGCTCCCAGGGCAGGCGTGGTGCTGCTGGAGGCACAGACGCTGCCTCTACCTGCCCCCATTCAGATCAGCGCGGGGGGAGCATGGGGGAACTTTCCTGACTCGTTTCCCCACCTTAAGGGGAAAAAAAAGAGGAGTCGCCTGACTTGGAGCTTCCCGAGAGGCAGCGCGGGGAGAGAGTGACCCAGGGAGCCAAGAATCTGCTCCGCTGTCGGGTCTCATTCCTGCTCTGCGGCGCAGGGCTGGGAGAGGTTGAGTTACGGGAGGCGCAGAAAGGGGACGGTGCAGGATGAGCTCATGCGAGGGCGCGGGAACCTTCTGGGCAGGAAAAAACGTTGATGCTGCAGTTCAGGGATTTCTGCAATCGCGGCTGTTCCCGCAGATCCCGGCTCGCTCTGCCCGGGCCGTCCACGTGCCCGTGGCAATCGACCCACCCGGGGGGGCTGCGGGGCTCGAGGGGATTCACGTGCCCTCGCAGGAACGTGGCGAGGAGCTGCGGAGCAAAGAGGGGGATAGGGGGGATGTGGGGTCCTGGGGGGACACTGGGGTTCTGGGGAGCTCCAGGACCCTCGTGCAGGGAGCGGCACCAAAGGCCACCCTGCGTGGGCTTGAGGGGGGTGTGGGACCATCGGCCCCACTGCAAATGGTGTCAGCAAACCCCAGGGTGAGGTTTTGCCACCTGGTCCCCATGGCCTAAGGCAGTGCCACCACCAGTGCGAGGGGGTGCGTGGAGGGGCCCAAGGGGTCTGGAAAAGCTCTGAATTCCCCCAGCACCGGGGCTGGCTCTCCTCGGTGTGTAATTCACCCCATGCTGCGTTCCTGGTTCCTGGCAGCTTTCCCCCTGCTGACTGGGGATAAATCCTTCCCACATCTCCAGCCCTCTGTCCCACAAGGTCTCTCGGTGCCGCGCGGTCAGAGGCTGCTTGTCCTGTCCTCGGGTAGCATCTCCTGCCCTTAAGAACTCGATGCTGCAAATACTCTTAGATGATGATTAATGAGCACTTATATAACTGAGCTGAGTCCTTAATGCAGCCGAGAGGGTGACAGGAGGGAAGGTGGGAGCCACAAACCGCACGTTGCTGCTGCTGCAGCTTTTCCCACACCGGAGCAGGCACTTCCCACATGGGGGGTGCTGCGGGGAGAGCCCACCCACGGGTGGGGCAGCCCCCACCTGGGTTTTCCAGGCAGGTTTGGATGCCGTGGCATGGCCAGGCTCTCTGGCGCGGCGGAGCTGGCAGGGGAAGGGGTTATGCTGGTAAAGCATCGCTGTGTGACGGTGTCTGGAATGCTGTGCTGACGCCGGTGAGCTGGGAGTGCTGGAAAAGGGTCCAAATCCCACGGCAACACCCGACTGTGGCCCACGTGGGGTGACAAGGCCACTGCTGGAGCCGCTGTGTGCTGGGAGCAGTTGTTTCTAAATTTGGCTGTGTTTGGGCAGGTAGGGATGGTCTGACACACAGGATTTGGTTTTCCATAATCTGGCTGGGAAGCACCAGCCCTGATAAATCTGCTGCTCAGCGCCAAGGCACTTACATGGTTGCCATGGTTACCACATGCTTATTTTCACCATCTTCCTCACCTCCGCCGGGGTGCACCGGCATTCCCAGCCCCGAATCCCCCCTCACCTCAGCTGGGGTGCACCGGCATTCCCAGCCCCGAATCCCCCCTCACCTCGGCTCATTTCCTGATACTCTGGTTTGGGTATCCCAACGCTGCTGTGCATCCCAGCTTTTTGCTGTGCATCCGATCCCCCTGCTCCCTGCAGATTCAGTTCCCCTGCTCTCCGTGGATCCAATCCCCCCATCACTGCAGATCCAATCCCTCTGCTCCCTGTGAATCCAATCCCCCCACTCCCTGTGGACCCGATGCCTCCTCTCTCTGTGGATCTGATCCCTGTGGATCCAGTCCCCCCTTCCCTGTGCCTTTGTCCTACAGCTCGGTAAATCCCGGTCACAGTAACGGGCCGAGGGCAGCGCAGCAGCCCCAGCTCCTCGCCATGGCAACAGCAGGATTGCGTCAGGGCTTTTCTTTCCAACTGCAAAGCTGGATGAGCAACTCCCTCAGGGACAGGAGTGAGGGAGAAGGGAATATTCTTTTTCCCAGGGGCTCTGGGACTGCCAGTTCCCAAACTGAGCCCTGGCTCAGTGTTTTGCTCCTTGCTCCTGGGTCCAGGGCTGCTATGGGACAGTGTGTGGTCACCCAGGGCTGAGATGCCGGGGACAGAGAAGGTTCCTGTGCCAGGGACATTGAGAATTCCATGCCGGGGACACTGAGGTTCCATGTGCCGGGGACAGTGAGTGCTCCTGTGCCAGAAAGGCTCCGTGTGCCTCCCCCACGCCGTGGCATCTCTGCCTGTGGCACAGGCTGAGCTTGAAGGGAGACGGGGAAGGAGCCGGAGGTTCCTGATGGATGGCTGCTTCAGTCCAGCCTCACATTCCCTCCTTCCCTGCAGTCCCAGCAAAAACAAAGGGAGAGGAGGTGGCTCTCCTGCTGTTCAGGATGTGCTGGGCCTTGCTGTGCCCCCTGTGCTGTGCCCCCTCTGCTGTGCCCCCATCTGGGGGGCTCCCCAAGGCCCAGGGGGAGGAACGCGGTGCCAGAGCCTGGAGCAGGAGTGGGCTCAGGGATGGTTGTGTTCCCTCCCAGCCCTGGGTAAGGCACAGCCCCAGACCAGAGACGCCCAGCGCTGTCCCAGGCGCTTGGGCACCCTCTGCCCCATCCTTCCCCCTGGCGCTGCCCTCCCCTCCCCGGAGGAGCTGCTCTGGGATTTGGGAACCTCATCAGAGTGGTGCCCGGGGCGGGGGCTGCCCTTGGCTCCCGAGCAGGTGCCAGGGCTGCCGAGCAGGTTTGGGCTCCTGCACAGCTCTGGGCAATTCTGTGTGCCCTGGAAATGGGCCAGGAGTGCAGGGACTGGGAAAGGTCCCTACAAACACCACAGCAAGTGCTGCTCAGTGGGACCCTCACAGAAAACACCCACGGGTGAGGCTCTGGAGCTTACACAGGGATTGGGGCAGGATTGGTGCAGAGTGACCTCTGTGTTCTGCCTCTGGGCTGTCGTGTGTTCAGGACCCCCTGGCAGGGCCCTGCAGCTGCTGGAGGTTTGATCTAAGGACCTGAATCCTGTGTTGTTTCATTGCTTAATTAACTGCCCTAATGACTTGTGCAACCTGCCAGGTGAGCTGCTTCCTGTCCTGATCCCAGCACCGCTTCCAGCTGGAGCTGGAGCCTGTGGGATGTGCAGAGACGTCCCTGAGCCCCCCGGGCAGGTGACACAGGGCTGCTGCAGCCCCTGTGTGCAGCCTGCTCATGCAATCCCCTGCACTGGGAGGGACCCACGAGGATCATCGAGGCCACGGCTGACGTGACACACACTGTGCCTGATGCCCTGGGTGAGCACCGAGCAGATCTGGAGCACGGAGAGCTCCTGGGAGCTGTGGAATTGGGGCGGGAGCGCAGGCAGCGCGTGGTTTCCTCGGCCCAGCTCTCGTGGATTCACTGGGTGACTCTGTCAGTGCCAAAGCAAAGGCATCAACACAGCCAGGTGAGACCAAAATCAGCCCTTTGGGACAAATCCAGGCAGGGCTGCGCTCGCCGTTCCCTGGCACAGGAGCTGCGCTGCTCCCACGAGCCTTTCATCCTGCTGGGACTCGAGTTCCTCTGGAGCAGAGAAGGCTCACGGTGTTATTCTCAAAACATCCGACCTGCCTGGCTTCGTGTGAGGAGTCAACCCCTGTGAATCCTGGTGTTTGTCCCTCGAGTTTGCAGCAGGGATGGTGTCAGGCTGACAGCTCCTCCCGCCACGTCCCAGGGTGGCTGGAAAAGGGTTCTGTGCGTCAAGGTCACTTTATCTGCCCTCATCACGGGCCAGAAACGCTCATGTTAATGGGTCTCTAATTTAATCAAAGTGCAGGGCTGGGATCTTTTTTCCCTCTTGAAGGGCAAAAATCAATTTGCAATGACAGTGGATGCACCTCCTTGCTCCTCCAGGCTCCTGGCAGACCACTCAGCCCCACACAAAATTAGGTGGAATTAAAAAAACCCACCAGACTTATTCAGTAATTCAGACCCAGAATTTAAAATTGAAATTCCTGTCTCAAACCAGCAATCAATTTTTTCATTTGCATAAAATACTGTACTACTTTCTCCTTCTATTCACAGTTTCATCCCGTTTTTTAACTCTTGCTCTTTGCATGTTTACAGAATCGTATATTCTGAGTTGGAAGGGACTCACAAGGAAGTCCACCTTCTATTATAGATGTTTTATTTTTACTAAATATCAATTAAGTATATATATAAAAATGTAAATTATCATTATTCAGTGTTGTTAATTTGCTCTCAGGTCTGGAAACTGAGTAAATTTTTTCACAGTAAGAAAACAGTAATAATAGTATTGTCTTGGTCTGTTGTCAATATTGGGCCTTTTTAGGTGCTTTTGATCACTTTGGTGGCAGCGTCCCATCCCCGCAGGCCTGTGTGCTCAGAAAAACCACTGGTGGGGTTTCATAATTACTGTATGTGATGTTTACAAACAGCCCTTTTCCTGCAAATGCTGAAGGTGTAACAACACATCAGGGAGGAAAAGGCCAATTTTTGTGCTCTGGGAGACAGGGAATGGGCGCTCCCTGCTTGGACAGAGCAATCACAGGCACATTTCCTTGCGTCTCCCTGCGTTTGTTTTTCTCTGTCTCAGCGCTCGGTTTGGAAATCAATCACCAAGGAGTCCTGATTTCCATCCTCCAGTGGTTTTCTTTATTCCGTGCAGCCTGCCTCTGACCGGGACCGGAGAAGAGCGGGAGGAGGGCGACCACGCTCCTGCTGTGGACTGCAGTGGGAATTACGAGGAATTTCTGGAGGCAGCGCCGACGTGGCCAGACCTGTCCCTGGACGGGGGACACCCACGGTGACCCCCGATGTGTCCGGTCCTGTCCCCTGCGCAGGGGACACCCACGGTGACACCACAGCCCCATCCTCGCTGTGTTTCCTTCCCCTGTTCCTTCCTGCGTGTCTCCTCCTCTCCCACATATTTATTCCCTCCCTCAAGTTCCTTTCTCTCCTACATTTTAAAACACTTTTCTGCATACACGAGATTGTAACTGTCGTGTGAAACACTGAACATTTTTATTTTAAGGGCTTTTTCAAAACCCCGTAGCCCCTCACTGAGACACGTGTTTATCTTTTTCAATATGGAAGTTTTTACTGCTGGAGGCGTTCTCACCTTAGGGAAACCTCAGGGTGAGTTTTTAAAACATTCCAGTGGGAAACGGGCTGAGCAAAGATCTTTTATTATTATGCTTCGAACAACACTTTTGTTGCTTTGGCTGCTTCTCACACTCATCGCGCTGAGCTCTCCCGACCGTGTGTGTGTGGGACAACACTGAGAAGGCTGGGGAGATGGTTCCCTGCGGGCCGCGGGGCAGGGAGGAGGGGCGGTGACAGGACGGGCCCTGGGCCGGAGGGAACAGGAGGGGACGGGGCGGGAGGAGCGGCCGGGCCCGGCCGGGGGCAGCGCTCGCCACCCAAGATGGCGGCGGCCCCTGAGGCGGCCCCTTTGTCTGCGGCCGCCGCCGCATTGCGAGAAGGGCGCGAAACTGGGGCAGCGCGGGCACGCCCCCCGCGAGCGGGGTGGGCGGGGCGCACAGCACAACGACCAATCAGCGGCCTCCACTTCCTTCCCTCTCACAGGGGCTCTCCCCCCCGCCCTGCGCGCGCAGCCAATCGGCGGCGCCCGCCGCGCCCCGCCCCCACGTGGGCGGAGAGGGCGGGGCCACGCCGCCGTTTTGTTTGCGCGCCCCTCCCCTCGTCCCCGCCGCGACTCATGAATATTAATAAGGTCCCGCCCAATCGGGTGGTGCGGCGGCGGCAGCGCTTTGGCGGCGTAATCGCCCCGCCTTGCAGCGGGATTAATCTGCATATTCATGAGGTGGGCGGGGCGGAGCGCGGGCGTTTATAAGGCGCCGCCCCGCCAGGCTCGCCGTACATTGCGCTGAGGCTTTGAAGTGCTGTGTGGAACCTCGCACCGCCCGGGCACCGGTGAGCGCCGCTGTGAGGGGCGGCCGCGGCCGCGCTGGGCCGGGGGGAGCTGTGCCGAGCGAAGCCGCGTCCCGGGGGCGGAGGGCCGGGTCACAGGATAGGCCGGGCCGCGGCGCCCGCCCCGGCGCTCGGTGTGAGCCGCGGGCGCGGGGAGCGCGGCGGAGCGGGTCCGGCTGGGCCGTGTGCGTGTGTGGGGGGATCAGGGGAAGGGGCCGCGGAGGGGGAGACGCTCGCGCGGAAACAAAATGGCGACGGGGCCTCGGCCGTGCAAAATGGCGGCGGGCGGGAGGAGGTGGCAATTTGTCGGGCCGGCCGGCAGGCGGCGCCGCGGTGCGCGCATGCGCGCTGGGCCCGGGCGGGCGGGGGCAGCGGGGCCTGCAGGAGCCCCCCCCTCACCCTCGGCGTCAGCCGCGGCCTCGGGGCCCGTGTGAGGGGCCTCGCACGGCAGCCAGCTCGCTTCGCTGTTGTTAGAGGTGGCGTCAGAACGGTTTAGTCTCTCGGATCTTGTTGGGAATGTGTTTTTTTGAGTCGCTGACTTGGTTCTGCTGGTTTGGCAGGTCAGGATGGCATCAGACGAGGGAAAGCTCTTTGTCGGCGGGCTCAGTTTCGACACCAACGAGCAGTCGTTGGAGCAAGTCTTCTCTAAATACGGACAGATTTCAGAAGGTGAGACTGCAGAGTCAAACTGTGCTGGTTTCCATTGGCTTTTTACATTCCCCAGGTGCTGATGGGTTTTTTTTTCACCTTTCCTTTCAACAGTCGTGGTGGTTAAAGACAGAGAGACTCAGAGATCCAGAGGTTTTGGGTTTGTTACTTTTGAAAACATCGATGATGCAAAAGACGCGATGATGGCCATGAACGGGAAGGTGAGCAGGCCCTGGGGCTGTTTATTTATTTCTAAAACCTAGGAAGAGAATCAGGGGAGATGTGCTGTTGTTCAGTCTGTGTAGAAAAACAAATAAATGTCAGTGTTTTAAATGCATGAAATTATACAAATGTAAATAATGTGGCTGCATGAAGTTACGAATGTGTGTTTAGCAATTTATACCTGATACAAAAATTGTATGATTTTACCTGTAAAACTGTGAAATAATAGAATTTCATAGGAATTCCTATATAATAGGAATTACATCAAGTTTAAATGCCAGTTTATTTGTGTGTTTGGCTTAGTCGTGACAGGAAATAGAGCGTTTATTCTGTCAGAATCAGTAAGTTCTGGTAGTGCTCAGCTGATGTGAAGCTGCGTAACTCCCTGCACGAGTGCTTCGCTGTCCGGATATTTGAACTGTGCATGGGCTAACTGTGGTTCTGTTTTAGTCCGTAGATGGGCGCCAGATCCGAGTGGACCAGGCTGGGAAATCCTCCGAGAACAGATCCCGTGGCTACAGAGGGGGGTCCTCGGGGGGCCGGGGCTTCTTCCGCGGGGGCCGAGGCCGGGGCCGCGGCTTCTCCAGAGGTGAGAGCGTGGGGGTGACCCTCGGGGCCTGGAGGGGGGGTGTCACTTGTCAGGCTGCCTAATAAAGCCTGGTTTCCCTGTTTCTCCAAGGAGGTGGAGACAGAGGCTATGGCGGCAGCAGATTCGATTCCAGAAGCGGAGGCTATAACGGCTCCAGAGACTACTATAATAGCAGGTAAGGGGGTCAGGGGGGAGCTCTGCCAGCCCCCGTGGGTGTCCCACGAAAGGCTGAGCGGGTGTGAAGCAGTTGCTGTTTGTCCCGCAGGAGTCAAGGTGGCTATGGGGACAGGAACTCAGGAGGCTCCTACAGAGACAGCTACGACAGTTACGGTAAGTGCCGCTCCGAGCGGGAGCGCTGAGTCCGTGTGCTGTAGGAGCTCTGAACCTGCTGAGCCTGAGCCTGGAGTGGGGCAGGCTCAGGCTGTGGACGTGGTGGTGCCGGGAGATTCTAATTTAATGCATGTGCAGGAGTTGCTCGGATCTCAGGCAAAGCAAGTGTTAAAAAAGGTTGTTCCTGGAGCCCAAACTCGGCTGCCCTTACGCTCTGACCCGCGGGTGGGGGATCTCACAGTAGCCAAGTAGCAGTAGCCTCGGAATAATGCAAGGGAGTAAAATGCTGGAACTTGTCTTTGCTTCAGTGCCTTTACAATTGTGCCTGCTTCTTGTCCTCAGCTACACACAACGAGTAAAAATCCTTCCTGACTCAAGATCGTCCTTCCAATGGCTGTATTTATAAAGATTTTTGGAGCTTCGCTGAAATGGTTATTGTGTAGTACATCTACTTGTATTTTCACTTTTGTAGTATTATCAGTTCTGATCTTGTCAAACACAGCCTGGCAGCTTCTGAGATGAGATGGTCTGATTAGACTGTCTTGGAGAAAGCTCTGCTTTCAAGTGGTTTTAATCTTTTTTGAAAGCACTTCAGATTTTATTTTATCCTCCATGATGAGCCAAGGTGTTCCTTTTTTCTTTTTTTCTTTTTTTTTTAAAGTTGGGGCCCCAATTCAGTTTCTTATGAGCTAGAAAGGACCTTGAACCGATGTTCACTGGAAGCTGAACAAGCTGTGGACTATTTTTTTTTTTTTCCAAGTGCATTACCTTCGTCTTTTGTAACATTCCTTTAGTGTAGCAAGGTAGGAATGCGGCCTGGGTTCCGTTGGAAGGCAAACCACCTTGATATATCTAAAGAGAAACGTGCTTGTATGTTCAACCCGCATAACGGTATTTTTACTGTTGTAACGATGTAAATGACCCAGAACTAGACTTGCAAACTTACCATAAAGAGGTTCTTGAAAATGTTTATTTATATTGTCCTTTTTTACTGGAAGAAATATGCATATTCCATTGCTGTTGTATTTGAAGTGGTAAAGGATTCCTGTATACAGTTTTCTTTGGCTTTACGAAGCCTATTAAAAGACCGTCTGAAATGAACTCTGCTCCTGACATTTACATTTCATTGCACAACACAACCCTTGGAGACGAAGAACAGTCTGGGAGCGAGAGAAGATTAGGGATAGTGGCAGAGCCAGCCAGACGATTGACCAGGTGCTGGAATTCAGTCCTAAAATCGGTCTTGACATGTGAATTGGCCAACAAATTCCACATAAAACAGTCAAACTTGTCTAGAGGCTGGAAGTACAAACCTGAGGGTGTGTTAGGAGCAAAGCGCAGTCGGAGTGTTAGGAAGGCTGATGGATGTTTGCTCCAAACCTGCTGTAGCCTACACTGGGAAGCTGTAGAGAAGAGCCAGTGCTGTAGTCCCTGGGCTGTTCCCTGCGTGCCGAGCGCGTGTGCGATGTAGGGGAATGCCGGGCTTAGGTAGCTGTGTCATTGCTTACAAGTTCTAAGAATTCTTTGCTAGCAAATGGAAACTGCAGTGTCCTTGGAGAAAAGAAGTGTTGTGCCTCCAACAGAAACCTCTGAGACGAGAGCTGCTCTCTTGGCTAGTTCATATGTGGAAATAGTCCTGTAATTCGAGGTAACTCCTTTTGCTCATGTCCGCATCCTTCCTCTTGTTGAGAGCTCATTTGAAAGTCTAATGTACCTGTGAAATATTCCTTTTGACAATTTTGGTCAGCTGCTGGAAAAAACGTTTAACCCATGCCGTATGCAACCTTTGGCTTGTGGCACACCTTGGGTTCCACAGATCAGAGTTGGGCATGCAGCCGTGTCTTGCTGTAGGTACGGAAGCAAGATGGGAACGAACTCCCTGACTCAATATGTGTTCATCTATTGAGACTCTTCCTAGACTTCATTAAGTTGCTCACTTTAATTGTAGCTTTCTTTGCCATCCTACTTGTTGCCATTAACTTTTTCCCATGGCCCACACTTCCTAAGCAGCCATGTCCAAGTGTTAACTCTCTGCTTAGGGATCCAATCCATGGGCTGGCTGAGCACGGGCAGCAGCCGGCCCGGAACAGTTTTCCCAGACTGTGCTTTGTGGTGTGATGGGTTCAGCGATGGCTTGTGAGACCCTCGTACGCTGTGAGCTGTGTGGGGGAGGTGGGGGACGTGCAGCCTCTGCCCGGCGTTCCTGTTAATGCCTCTGTGCTTTGGCAGGCTGAAGGGACCAGGGGCACGGCCCGGAGCCTGAGCGGATCCTGAGGGAGCAGAGCTGCGTTCCAGGGATGCCAGACTGAGTTTGCCAACCAGGTAACGTCCCTTCTGTCCACCCCTCGCCCTCTGAGCTTTTCCTGACCCAAAACCTTTGCTGTATCTCTGTTTCACAGCCCTGTGCTCTGAGTGGTCCCATTAGCCCTCTTTTGTGGGTCTCTGTATCTTTACCCACCTTCTAATTCTCTTCTATTTCATTTCAGCACCGAAAGGCATCAGAGAAGACCGAGAAGGACAGACCCTGAGTGCAGTGGGGAGATGAAGAGCCCAGAGCAGTGGTGGTGCTGATTTTTACATGGGTCAATTGAACAAGTCAATAATTAAGGCAGAATAAAATACTGCAATGTGGAAACCCCCAAATCTCTGTGGTACTTTTGTGGTAAACATGAGAATGTTTTTGGCAGGAAGTTTATCTGGTGCACAGCCCAGGTCAGAGCACAGAACACACTGATGCTGTGGTGGTTGGGGCTCCAAGCAGATCGATGCCTGATCTTCATGGAAAACGAGGTCTTATTTTTGGTAAAATTCCAAAAATGGGGCAGCTCAATAATTAGTAGGATTTATCTTGGGAGAGGCTGACACTGTTTTGGGCAGGGTATGGCAGGGTGAGGGCAGTGAGTTTCTGATGGCGTCAGCTGCTCCTGCCCAATTTTCTTGTGTTAACAGTTGCTTTGTCTTGCCTTTTTCTCCCTGTTTTTTAACGGGTAAACTCAGAATTTGGTGAGGTGGCAGGTGAGATGCTCACTCGTGAGCCCTGAGGATGCCTTGCATATCATTTGCCAGTAATAAGAGCCCCAGAAGGATATTAAATATAACAAAACCTCAAGAGTGTGTGGAGCCTTGACTGATAAAAATGCAGTCAGGTGAGGTTTAAACGAATTCAAGTTGAAAATACTAAGAAATAATGCTTTGTAAGACCTTCCTAAATAGGATGCTTTAATGCAGGTAGGAATAATGAATAGATACAAAAATAGAGCCTGGGTGAGGTGCTGTTATTTTTGGCAATGCTAATTACAGCGCTGCGTTAATGATGTGTTGCATGGATGGATGAGGGAATTGTTGGATCCAGGGGCTGGATGTAGAACCAAGTGGCATCCTCGGGAATCTGTTTGGGTGCCACGGGGCTGATGTGACATCTGGCGTGAGCTTGGGTGACCCACTTTTCACCAAAATGCCTTTTTTTAAAGTGCTGTGTGTCTGGGCAGCTTGAGGCCCTTCCCTGAGGGAAATCTGGGAGTAGAGTGATGCTGCAGGGCAGTGACAGAGCCCTGGTCAGGGTGGAGTGTCTGGGGAGGAACAAGAGGGTGGTTAGAAACGCTCAAAAGGCTCCTGTTTCCAGCAGTGTTCCCGCGGTGGGAATGGCCCTCATGGTGACACTGAGGAGGGAATGTGGTTCTGAGGGAGAAGGTCTTGCTGTGGTAGAGAAATGGTGACACTGAGGGAGAAATGACAACTCGGGGGAAATGATGTCCCTGGAGGGGCAGTGACGCCCCTGAGGGAGGAAGGACAACCCTGAGGGTCTTGCTGTGAGGGGGAAACGGCGGCCCCGAGGGAGAAATGGTGCCCTCAGGGGGGAATGGAGGCCCTGAGGGAGGAAGGACGACTCTGAGAGGAAAATGGCAGGTCTGAGGGAGAGGGTCTTGCTGCGAGGGGGAAATGGCGGCCCCGAGGGAACCGTGACGGCCCTGAGCGCGGAGGGACGACCCTGGGGGGAAAATGGCGGCTCTGAGGGACGGGGTCTTGCAGCGAGGGGGAAATGGCGGCCCCGCGGAGGTGGCGGCGGCCGGGAGGGGACCGCGACGATGCCGAGGGCGAAATGTCGGCCCCGCCGAGGCTCCGAGAGCGGGCAGCCCGGAACGGCGGAGCCCCGGAACCCGCGAGCGGCTCCGCGGGGCCGGGCGGTGCCTGCGCCGAGCGCACCGTCCCGGCGCCTTCCTGCGGCCGCCGCTGCCGCCCCGCTCCCGGCCCGGCCCGGCCCGGCCATGCGGCCGCTGCTCCTCCTCCTCCTCCTCCTGCCCCTCGGCCGCGCCGCCGCCCCCGGCACGGCCAACAGCACGGAGGCGCCTCGGGCGGCCTCTGGGAACGGGACGCGGCCGTCGCCGGAGACGCGGCGCCCGCCCGGGCCGGGGCTGCTGGCGGGGTCGGGGCTGCCGGTGCTGAGGCGGGCGGTGTATGTGCTGAGCGCGCTGTCGGCGCTGGCCGCGCTCTACTTCGTGCTGCGGGCGGTCCGGTGAGTGCCCCGGCGGGGCTGTGTCCGTGTCCCTGCGGGTCCCGCTGTCCCCTGTCCCGGGGTTCTGCCCTGCTCGCCCCGGTCCCGGTTTCCCCTGGCCTGGGATGTGTTCCTGCCTGTCCTGGCCCCGGTTGTCCCGTGCCTGCCCCCCGTGGCCGTGCCCCTGCCAGTCCCAGTCCTGATCTGGGTCCTCCTGGAGCCGATCACGATGTCCCCTGTCCCCTTGCCTGCCTCAGACCTCTCCTAATCCCAGGGTTTGTGCCCATTTTCCCTGGATCCCCCTTCCCTCCCTTCCTCCCTCTGCTAGCCAGGGCTCTGCTCCCCTGAGCATCCCTTTGGCAGTGCTGCTGTAAATCCACGCCACTGTTAATTACCCGGGGTAATTAGCAATGACAAACCACCTCCCTGGGGTCCCGTTTGCTCTGCCCTTTGGCTCGGATCGGCCCCGTGTCCCTGCGGTGGGACAGCGGCTCCCCGTGCCCTCCCTGCCCCTCAGCCGCGGGCCCGAGGGCCCCAGGAACGAGCCCCAAACCCGTTTCAGGTTGAAGAAGCCCCAGAAGAAGTACGGGCTGCTCTCCAGCCACGACGAGAACATCGAGCTGGGCTCCCTCGACAGCGACGAGGACACCGTGTTCGAGACGCGGAACCTGCGGCGGTGAGGGAGGCTTTGGTGTGCTCTGTGTGCTTTGTGTGCTTCTCTCCTCCTCACGAGGGGCTGAGGCTCCTTTCCTGGAGTCGTGGGAGCTTTGGCACGGCTCCTGCAAACAGATCTGCATAAATTAAACGCCTGCGTGTGGTCTCTGTGTTGGCACACGGATTTATCTCGCTTTTCCTTGTTTTCTCACCCAGAAAGGTCTCACTGACAGGGACGTCCCCGGCTGATTTGGACACTGCTGGGGGGTTGCAAGGGCTGTTGGAGGGAGAGGCAGCCCTTGTGCCCAGTCTAAGCCTCCCTGTGTTAGACAGGAAAACAAAAATTCCTGGTTTTTTCCAGCTTAGGAGCTGCTTCCAAGTCATATATCCCAGTTCAAACTCCCAGTCCCATCAGGGCATCCATTCCTGCTTGTGTAGAACTGTGCTTCCCACAAGTTCAGTTTCTGGGGAGGGTCTTTTAAGCTGAGGAGGAATGTCAGCTCGAGGAGTGTCAGCTCAAGGAATGTCACCTCAGCAGCTGCCCAGCCCTCAGCTCCCCCCTGACACACTGTCCATGCTCCCCCTGATTTTTGGCTGTCTCCTCTTTTCCCTATTTTTGCAGATGACTCGGGACCAGCGGCGCCACCTGCCCAGACTGACAGAGGGTCCAAGCCCAGTGGAATCTCCAGTGCTCAAGTTTCATATCTGCTTACAGTGACTCTTAATTAACAGTTCCAACCTTCCATAGCTGGGGCAGGGGAAAGGGGACCAAACCTGTTTACTTCACGTGCATTTTTGGGGACGTTTCTGGGGAAAGGCGGAGCTGAGGTGCGTTGGGAGCTGCTCAGTGCATGGGGAGATGCTGAGGTGATGCTCCTGGAGGATGCTCAGCAGGTGAAATCCGAGCTCTGGGCTGTGCCCGGGGTGTTGGTGTTTCAGGGTACTCATATCTCCCTGTCTCAGCCCTGGGGGTCAGCTGGAAGCATCAGATGAGGGGATTCCTTTTCCAGGCTGATCCTCTTTCCTTCATGCAATATCAGGTTACTTCTTTGGGAAGTGAATCTGTAATGAGCTCCAGCCCAGGAGGAGCTGGGAGAGCTCTGGGTGTCTGTAAGGAAACGGGGTGGGGGGGTGATAGTTCAGACAGAACAGCTTTGGGAATGAGTTAAACGGGTTCAGTTTTGCAGGATTAGCAGTTACACAGATAATCCGGGTCATTCTTGGGTTTACAGACACGTTTACAGATGAGAGGGGCCACAACCCAGAGGGATATTTCTCCAGAGGAGCCACATCCGTGTGGTCTGTGGGGCTGGGAGTGCCTGGACTGCTCTGCCCAGCCCCAGTCGTGTGCTCACCAGGGTGACACCAGGGACACGTGGGTGACATCTGCCAGGGTCTGGACACTGAGACACCTGGGGTGAGGTGGTGCACCTGAACTGCAGGTGTGAGGAGTGTCCTGGAGCAGCTGATGACTGGAAAAAGGGGACCCTGACCCCTGTTGACTGTGATTCAGGACAGCCCTGAACTGTGAGTTGTCTCCTCTCAAGGGTACTGGAGTTTCACTCCATTGCTGGTACTCAGCTGGGACCTTTCCTGCAGCCCGTTGTGTGGATAATTTGGGATCTGATTGTGTAGGACCGAAGGTGAATGTGTCAGGAGGTCGTTGTCGGGTGGATCTGCTGCTAAAACAGTGGAAACTGCTTGCCAGGTGCTCCTGTCCTTGGAAACTGTCAGTGCATCCTTAAATCCCATTTCCACCCAGGCTGGCAGTGCCTTTGTTTGGAGCAGCCAGGGGAGTTGCCCTGCGGGCAGGGAGGTCCCTGAGTCACCTTTAAGGTGAACACTGAGAATGTCTTTGGAATGTCTTTGGCTCCTTTCCTTTGGTTTGCACATCCCATGTGGATTGGGGGGCACAGCTGACACTGCAGGAGGGGACAGGGAAGCGTTGGGGTCTGGCTGGTGCTCTGGGCTCCCCTGAGGCGGAGGATGGAGTGCTGGGATCCTGCTGGGATCCTCTGTGAGGGGCTGTGTTTCCCCAGGCAGGGCAGGGGAGGTTTCCTGGAGAAATCCCACCCCCACGGCAGCTCTGTCTCGCACGCGCCCAAAAGATTTTAAAATACACAGATCCGTGTTTTTAATCACGCTGCCGTGTGCTCCCAGCGCTTGGATGGGCCCTGCTTTCCTGTCACACCCGATCCAGGTGCTCCCTGCTCATGGAGCTGCTGCAGATGGAAACAGGCAGAGGTTCCGTGTGGGAATGGGATGGCTCAGTCCGGCTGCCGCCTCCCTGTGATCCATGGTCAGGGATCCATTGATCCTGCAGGGCTGCACGTGCTGGTGACTTCCCTGGCTCTTCAGTTCCTCTGGAAAGTTGTTCCTTGTGCTGTTGAACCCAAATGAGCCCCACTGTCCCAGTCCACTGCAACCCACGCATTCCTTGGCCTTCCTTTACCTGAAGTGATTAAACCTGAGCATTCCTTGGACTCCTCTCTTGCTGGACAGGTGGGGTCTGCAGTTCTCAAGTTTCCTCACCTCGCAGGAGCGGAGGATTTGTTTATTGTTAAATGGTTTGGGTCAGAGGGAACCTCAGGCTGGACCTCCGAACAGTCACTGTTGTTTAAGCCAAAGCTGAATTTCTGAAGTTTACACGATCCCTCTGCTCTGGGAGGCTCTGTGGGTGCTCTGCTGTGGGTGTCGACCTGCCCAGCCCACCTGGGCCCTCTAGGGGTTGATGGGATCAATGGGGAGCAGAGTGAGCTCGGCTCTGTCGCTCACCACGTGCTCCTGTTGTGTTCCCGTGCCTGGAATGGGATCTGCGGCACCGGGAGGTGCTGGGAGAGGGGCCTGTGGCAGGATGGGTGCTGTGGAGTCAATAAACAGCCCTTGAGCATGGTGTTGTCTGAGCTCCACGAGGAGCAGCTCCTGTTTCACCCTCCTGAGGAGTCACTGATTTATCTTTAAACACCACCTGTCATTGCAGCATTCCCTCCCTTGTACCTGGAACAAGTGGAATAAAGCATTCCAGCCCACCCCTCCCTCCGTGCCTGTGGGGTGGGGCTGCTGTGGTGGGCTCATGGATTTATGGAGTTGTTGGGTTTTCGCCCTGCCCTGCTCCCTCTCACAGGACAGTGACACTGTCCCCTCTATGCTCTCAGGGCTGCTGCTCACCTTGTCCCCCCCTGTCCCTCAGAGCGTTGTCCAAACGCTCCTGGAGCTCTGGCAGCCTTGGGGCCGTGCCCACTGCCCTGGGGAGCCTGGGCAGTGCCCACCACCCTCTGGGGTTAGAACCTTTCCCTGATACCCAACCTGAGCCTGCCCTGGCACAGCTCCAGCCCTTCCCTGGGTGCTGTCCCTGCTCACCAGAGCAGAGATTGGAGCTGCCTGTCCTGAGGAAGCTGCAGACCCCCATGAATGTCCCCCCAGACTTGTCCAGGCTGAAATGGGAATGTCCTGGCTCCTCCCTGCAAGGAATTAGACCCAGAAGAAAACCGAGGGCGTTCCCTGCCTCTCACATCTGCTTCTCATCCATCTCCTTCTGGTTGTGTGGATCAGTGGCACTGAGAAATGAGAATCCACATTCCCCCTGTCCCACCCTGCCCTGGGCTGTGTCCCCAGGTCCTGCCTGCTCTGGTGCAGGAGCACCGAGGGGGAAGAGGGTTTCATTTACTCCCTGACTTACCCTCCTTGTTGGTGGGTGTTCTGTGGGGCTGGAGGGCAGCACGGGGGGCTGGGGCACAGGGCATCCCTGTAGATGGCACTCACAGACCAGACATGCGGCTGCCAGGGCACTGCCAGCACCTGGGGAAGCTGGAAACAAGTCCTGGAAGGCAAATCTTCCCCCGAGCAGTTGCTTGGGATGAGCTGGAAGTGCCCCCTGGGAAGTGCCCTTCGGGGCCTGTGTCTCTTGGCCTCGGGGTGGGGGAGCAGCAGGTTTTGGGGTGGCTCCTGGGGAGCTGTGGGCCTGGGGAGGGGCTCTCCCAGTGGCACGGGAGGCTCTTGCCCTGAGTCTCACCTGGCCCTGTCGGTACTTGTTTGGGAAGGATTTTTATGACTCTGGGACTGACAAGGTTTTGAGGTGCCCTGATGGGAAGGAGTGGAGCCACCAGCTCCAGCACAGACATGAACACCCAGCCCTGCCCAGCAGCACCCCCAGGGCACCCCGGCTGGGCCAAATTAGCTGCAGTGCTAATGAACTAACAGGGCAGGACAGTGTCAGGTTAGACTGGGTATTAGGGGAAATTCCTTCCCCAAAAGGAAGGGATCCACACTGGAACAGGCTGCCCAGGAGCAGTGCTGGAGTCACTGCCCCTGGAAGTGTTCAAAAAACATGGGGACATGGTTTAGTGGCGGCCTTGGCAGTGGTGGGGGAATGGTTTTCATGATCCTGGAGGTCTTTTCCAACCGAAATAATTCCACGGTTCTGTGCTTCCAAGCTCTGTATGGGAGCTGTGACAGTACTCGTTCCTTTCCAGGCTCAGGGGGCTGATACCCCAATTAGCACTAATTGCTGTGGCCTGTGGTGCTGGACCAGCTGCAGCTGTGCTGTCCTCCCCCCTCTTCCCGTCCCTGTTCCTGCTCCCCCCGTGCCATCCCCCCTTCCCGAGCCCTCGCTGGGGAGCGGCTCCGGCTGGCGCTGCCTGGGATTCCAGTCACAAACACAAGCTGGCGGCATGGATCTGCTCTGAATTCATTTGAAACTCGAGGTAAAGTGCTCTCGATGCTTTGGATGCAAATTTCCCTCCCTGGAACGGGAGCTGCGGGCCGGTGGAGTGCTGGGGAGCTCTTGTGATGCCAGCAGCCTGTTTGCTGCTCCCGCCGTGGGTGTGAAATCCCCGCTGCGGCACAGCCAGGGGGGCTGGCACAGACAGCTCCTCTCCTGCTCCCCGGCCCCTGCTTTTCATCAGGGCTCGTGTATCAAGTTGTTTTCTGGGTGGGTTTGTTTTTTGTGTGTTATTGTGTGTGACAACAGCCTGTGTGTGATTCTTCTGGTCACTCTACGGGAGAAGAGACGGTCCAAGCCCTTGCAGTTACCCAAGGAGGGAAAAGAAAGAAATATAGAATATTTACAGATAATATGTGCAAAAAGGTAGAATGGGTAAAGGATCCATTCATGGATTTCAGGGTTCTTTGCCGTGGGGGTGGATCCCTCCAGTACCAAACCTTGGTTTTCACAGGTGGCATTAACCCAGGCCAGGCTGGACGGGGCTCGTAGCACCTCAGGCTAGTGGAGGATGTCCCTGCCCATGACAGGGGGTTGGACTGGATGGGCTAAGGTCCTTCCAACCCAGACTATCCCAGGATTATCTCCATGGGCAGCTCTCTGGGGTGGGGATTGTCACCTTGAACGAGTTGGGCTCTCAGTCCTGTTGGGGCCAGGCCTGCAGTGGGTCAGGAGATGAGGGTGGTTGAGGGAAGATGTCCCAAGTTCTGTCCCATTTATTGCTCATACATTCCCTGGGTGGCTTTGGGGACTTTGGGGTGACCGTGGGTGGCTCTTGGAAGCAGAGCTTCTCTGTGCATGTTTTCAGCTGCACTCACAGCTCTGCCCCCGTGTCCCTCTGGCCGGGGCTCGTCGTGGGCAGGGACTGCGTGGTCTTCCTTGCCTTCATTCCATGGGCACTGGCACTCCAGAATGCGCCTCTGGGTTGGTGTGGAATTGGGTGGCATGTTGGAAAAGAAGCTGGGAATGCTTGAAAACCTGCTGCAGAGTCTCTGATGTCTGTTCTGTTCCACTCAACAAAGCACCTCTACACAACGAGCAGATTCTTCTGTATTAGAAATTACCTTTACTTAGTTGGCTTTTTGTCTAAATCCTTCTTCTGATCTTTATTTTTTTTCCCTTCCATCATGGAAAGGTGAATGGAAGTGGCACTTCAGCCACCAAAGCCTTTCCTTTAGAATCGCTGGTTGTTTTTTTGTTTTAAAAATTTTCCAAGGGGCTTTGCAGGGGAGGAGGAAGGAGCGTTCTCTTTTCAAGTGACTCCGGGGAATAAAAGTATAAAGGACAGGAATGATCAGAACTGTGCTGGCAACGGAACAATATTTTATTTTTGAGTACCAGAGCTAATTGGAGAAGGAATTCACACAACAATTTTTGCAATCTAAGGATGAGTAAACATGAAAGGGGCTCTGTGCTCCTGAACATGCTAATTTGGGGCTGCGTGTGCAGGGAGGGGGGAAACGGCCTGAAGATTAAATTGGAGACAATGCCTGGGATGTTGCACTCCAGGCTTTGCTTCTTACGTTGCTGGATCAAAGCCACGAGGCAAACTCTGTGTCCAGGGATACCTGTTGGGGTGGGGGTGGAACTTCAATGCACCTGCAGGGTGGAATCACCAGAAAATGGGGATGTTGGCTCTGATTTGGTGGAAGTGCTTCCATGGGCACCTGGGGACCCTGGAAATGCTCCCATCCACTGGCTGATGGGAGGCTGGAAATGGGGCTCTCGAGGTTTGCAGCCAGCAGAGCCCATTGCGGGGTCGTGCTGAGCCCCCACAGAGCACAGGCAGGTTTGTCCTGCTCCCCGGGAGGTGAAGGCAGAAGGTTTTCCCTGGAGAGGCTCCAGCCCTGCCGTGGAACATTCCCCCCACCCTGATACGCTGCTAATACGTTCCGGTGGTTAATTACTCTCGCTCTTTTAAAGAATAAAACCTCACGTACTTAAAATAATCCCCATTATTTCATTGTTCAGCCTGAGCTGAGCCCAGCCACCCCCGCTCCCGCACAACTGCAGGAAAGGCTGTTCCTGACAGGGAAAACCTGATGGGCATTTCGTGCCTGAGCAGCAGCTGGGGGGGTTGAGGCTTTGGGGGGGCACATTCTGCTCTACCTGCAAACCCAGGGTGTTTCTCCCAGGACATCCTGAGGGTCACCGGGGCCAACTCCAGGTGATGTTGCAGGGCCTGTTGTGATAGGACGAGGGGTGATGGATTCAAACTAAAAGGGGCTTAGATTTAGACTGGATATAAAGAGGAAATTCCTGGCTGGGAGGGTGGGCAGGCCCTGGCACAGGTTGCCCAGAGAAGCTGTGGCTGCCCCTGGATCCCTGGAAGTGTCCAAGGCGAGGCTGGACGGGGCTTGGAGCAACCTGGGATAGTTGAAGGTGTCCCTGCCTGTGGAGTTGGAGGATCTTTAAGGTCCCTTCCAACCCAAACCGTTTGAGGATTCCATGATCCTGCTGAAGCCCAGTCTGACAGAGCAGTCTGGCTCTGTCTGCCAGGGACACCCTGGGGAGCAGCTCCCTATGGGATGTTCTCCTGGAGGGATGAGGGGTGGCTGGGGAGCCTCGTCATATGATGGGGACCCCCAAGCAGGACAGTGGGGGGCCAGGGGCTCAGCGGGACCGGGGACGTGGCGGCTCAGACTCTGAATGCACCGACACATCTGGCTGGTACCGGGATGTGCTGGTGTATTCTCATCCTTTTATTTCGCCAGTGTTATTTTAATCCGCTTTTCTCTCACATCAAACTCCTCTTTCTGCAGAACACAGGGAGGTATCAGGTTTGTGCCCTTTGTGGTCGGTACCAAAGGGCTGCGATAGCGCGGTTTTCCCTCAGAACTGGAGGTTTTATCCCTGTGATAAGTTTAGCTTCGCCACAGTCATCGCTTGGGCTGCTCGACTGGCTCAGATGAGTGCAGGGAAAACGTTTCCACATTTAGCAGAGGAAGGGGAGGGCTGGGTGTCCTCAGGAAGGTTCCCATTCGTGTCACCCGGGCACGTGTGGGTGATCCCTGGGGGCTCTGGCCGGTTTGGAAAGTGGCTTTTCCTTCCACCTGAAGTGGGCAGGAATGTTCCTCTGGCTTTATCAGACTTCAGGTCAAGGTGTTCTTTGGCACAACTTCCAGGGTGGAGGATTTCCAGGGGCGGAAGTCCCCGGGAGCAGCCTGGTTTTCCTTGGAGCTGTGCAGTCGGAGAGAGCCCCTTCCTTCCAAAGCCTGTGTTTCCCACATAGAAAATAACATGTAGAGAACCTTCTTTTCAAATGAAGGAAAGATTAAGGCACAGCAAGAGCTGATTTGCCAAAGGGCACCCAGGGAAGCAGTGGTGGATCAGAGATGGAAGCAGAATCCTCAGCTCA